CATTAGAAGCATTGATTCAGACGAGTAGTTTATAATCTCTCATCTAGCATATTTTGATTCTCATTATTGCCGTCGCTAGATATCTACGTATCGCATTTCTCTATCTCGAGATGATTTTGTTGTTATTGTCATGCATTCGGTACTTGGTGTATCTGAGATGATAGATAGATTGATTTATTGCGGATTTCCTGGCCTGCCCTTTCACTTTGAAGAGAGTCGCATTCTGATCAACATGGCTGTTTTCCCTAGAGACATTGAAACTGTAATCTTATTTGGAATGTAAAGACTTTATAGGTAGTCAGTTTGTGTTCGTTTCCTTTAATGCATAGCTTAGTAAGACATGTAAGCTAGGAGTATGGAGAGGGGTGAGATTGCCGTAGAAAGACCAAACAAAGCGCCATAGGAGAGGAGAGATGGTGATTCACACATCTACTACTCAATATTCAAAAGAGACACCATCGTGATGTTTGTTAATGACTCATGAAATCAAGACATTCGGAGAAGAGCAGGAGCGCATGTACTACTGGTCTTACTATCTCAGCAAATTTATTCTTGTAGTACTATTCTATTTTACTATCTGTTCATTGCCTAACTCTTCTTCATCTCTGCTGTTACCCCTGTTTCAAATCACAATCTCGTTGTAGTCATTTGATCTCTTGTCATCCCATGTTGAGAAGTCCTAACCAGAAAGTCGCAGAACACTCCCCTCGAAGTACCATGTTCAATCCTCGTTCACCAATGCTTTATGGTTGAGACCGATCCATTTGCTGGCAGTCTGCAGGGACCTTGAGGTTGAGGGGTCATTTCAAGGCTTTCAAATATCTCCCCTATACTTTGAAACTTTCACGTTGATAGGTACAGCGGGGCAACAGATGAGGAGTAGAAATATATATACACTAGACGGCAACTAGTGTCATTTAAAAAATTCATTCCATATCTCCTCGCCTGGTAAACCACCAATTAATCCTCTCTCCCACTCGGAAAATCACTCCAAAAAATAAATAAACATTCCCATGTAAATCCAAGGGTAAAAAAGTGCAAAAAAATCAAGCTTTGATGAAGGGAATTGAGCCCAACGGGGGGGTCGAACCCCCAACCTTGTGATTAAGAGTCACACGCTCTACCGATTGAGCTAGCCGGGCAGGCTTTGCTTGATGATTTGATGGAAACAGTCCTGGTGTTTGAAATTATATTTAAGAGATTGATAAGAAAATTCTGTAAAAACTTTTCTTAGGGGGGGTTAAGCGAGGTGAGAGTGGGGCTAGATTATGCGATGAGATTTTTGGTGGGGTTCAATGGGGGGGTATGCAAGACGGAAGAGAAGCATGATCCACTCATTATACCATTTCTGCGTGCACACTCCCGAATTTCGATTCTGCGGATTCATTGTACCTCCCCTTCCCCTGCTATTGATCTCTTTTTGGATTTGACGTCATAATGTATTTCTAGTTGCATTGAAAAGGTTTCCTTTTCATTTGTTAGTATAAACAGTACAAGTTTTGGTGTTCTTCTGATCTTTAAACTAGAGCCAACTGAAGTAGTTATCGAAGAGATGAAGGGTGGTAGATGGACTGAGGTGTAGTGGTCTTGCTTGGAGTTTGACGTTAGTTTCTTGTGAAACGGAAGGTTTTTGTTATTGGTTTCTCTTTCTTGTTGTTGGCTTAAAAATAGGATGTTCATGGTCACTTGAAAAGTACTCCTGCCGGTGAATGGTTTGATGGATAGATTCTAGGCTATAAGGTAGAGAGTTATTTACTTTCGAAATGGCTCCGGGGATGGACTTGGGATGGAATGGTATGGTCCTGTGTTCTAGGATGCCGGGATTCCTAATCCTCGTCATCTCAGTACAGCGTGCTTATGGTAGTTTAAAGTTGGAAACAAACCCCATATTATACTGTGAAGAGGGGTAAAGAGGGAGGGTTCATTCACCTAAGCAGAGTCGATCGATGAGAAGTCTGCTATGGGTGTACAGTTCGATGTCCTTTCAGAAGATACCCGGCTAGAAATCAGGCCAGTGGGTCGTTCAAAGAGGAAACCATCGCAGATGAGTTTCAACTAATTCGTGAAACCAACACAATTGGAAAGGGCCAAGAGTGCGTGTTTCTGGCTTTGCTATCCACGGGTCTTGACGTAAATATTATAAGGGTACTATTCTGTTGAACTATCTATTTATTTCTTCGCTGGTTTTTGTCTGGTGATATGTCTTCCACGAAATTTAGCGATTTTTTCGTTATGCTTCCTCTTGTCATTCGATATTAAGAAGCCCTAATCAAAGGTAAAAGAATGGTTATCTTTTGAGTATTTAACATCTTAATTGCCACACCACAATCTATGAATCATGGCCGAAACCGATCCAGTTGGAAGATAGCCTGCAAAAGGTTTGCAAAGAGTGTTCTAAAGCGTGGTCCCGGCACCGCATCAAATGGAGAGTCAAGAATCCCCGATCGATGAACCTCCTCGGAGGATTATGCGCAAATATTTGTGCTAAATGGATATCATCCAAAAAATCCATCTTCAGCTCATCGTTGCTTGAACATTGCCAAGAATTATAATGTGGACTCGCAAATATCTCGCCGCTCGTCAACCCTTACAAGGTTTAGTCAAGCGAGGTGTCTTCCAAATTTCACTGGGAAGATGCAATCGTTATGTTAAAAGTTTGAGTTTACTATGTGTACTAGGTAGTTACCTGGATTTTTATCTTTATGTCGTCGCATTTAAAGTTGGGAATAAGATTTGCGGCAGTGGACATGTTACTCGTACTAACCTAAAATTGGGTTGCCGAGAAATCATAAATTGGAATAACCAGAATGTCAAATCATTGTGAATAGAACCTCAAACTGTTATTCCATTGAGGTTACATGGAATTGCATTTTTGAGATTGATTCTAAATGACAAGCTGAAGTATGCATACTACATAGTATGAATACTTTTGATACAGTCTGGGTAGCCTCAATATACCTCATAACCTACAATGCACATTATCAAATAATTTTACTTGCAGAAATATCATCGTAGGGGGGTATTAGATGTCAGAGAGAATGAAGAAGAGCGTCTTTTGTGTTCGGTCGTATGCTGGTTCTATCGGCATCAAGCCGTGCATCAACCGTCAGCGGTGACGGGACGAGACTTTCATTCTCTCATAAATTTTATTATATAACTCCTTCACAACAAAAACAGAGATGCAGAGATCGACAGAGAGGAAGAGTTTAATGAGCCTCGAAATGCTAGACGAACGTCTATTCCACGAGGGATACGCACTAGACCTTGCTTCCTTCATAGTTAGCGCAATCCACTTAATCGCCTCCGTTACCTGCTGGGGAAGACCAGTATAGGCAATAGTATACTGTAGTAAAACGGTGGCGTGTATAAAGCTTTTGATATGATAGATAATACGTATTAGAGAAATATAAACTCACTATTATATATATCATTTAAATGAATATATATAAAGATATATGATAAAACTGAAATATAAAAACCTAAAAATAAAAATATAATATTAAAAATCAAAACTAATACTAATAAAGTTTGGATAATGAAAAAATACTTTCAAAACGTTTAAATTCGTGAAAATAATATAATAACATTAATTGTCACGAGGTGACACTAGCCCTTCCTGTCCTGTCCTGTCTTGCTATATATGTGAGAGCAAGATAGAACTTTCAGTTCTATCTCCTAGTCTTTTATGCTTTTATGACATAGCAGTAAAGCTTCTGAATACTCCCAAAGATGGTCCCGTAACATTAAATAGAATTACCCTTGATCATAAATGGAGTTATATGAAGGACTCATTTATAGCTAACAAGCCTTCATTAGTTTGAAGGCTAGCATATATGGACCCTGTCTGTCTGCCTAAATGCCTGAAGTATCATAATCCTAAAACCTCCTAGTTAAATGATGGTATGGAGACTATACCTTAAGGAGGGGGGTAATGTTATAAGGTGATACTAACCCTTCCTGTCCTGTTCTATCCTACTATATATGTAAGAGTAAGATAGAACTTTCAGTTCTATCTCCTAATCTTTTATGCTTTTATAGCATAGCAATCAAGCTTCTGAATGCTCCCAGAGGTGGTCCCGTGACATTAATGTTCATATTTAAAGACATCAATGTTACGACGGGTAACAGTGGATCACGTGACAAATGTCATGTGACAGGACGTTGGAGCCTTTGGAGCTTAGGATCCAAGGAGCCAGGAGCCTTTGGAGCTTAGGATCCAAGGGATCCAAGAAGGACAGAACCACAGGGTCCGTAGAGCAGGAAGGTCTATATAAAGGAATGGGTTTCATTACAATATAGAGCTTCGTGCTCAAGAACAATCATTAGTTTCATTACTATAGTTACGAGAATTGCAACCAGTTACCAACCTTATTGAATTCCTACTTGAAGTCTAGTCTAAACCACCTCGAGAGATCTCTAGACACTTCCACGTGACCCTAGAGGCAGCTCCCGTAACAATCAAAAAGATCAAAATATTCGATAATATTAATGGATTATTATTAATTAATAATAATTCAATTAAATATAAAATTTGATATTGTTGAAATCTAAGGATAACCTCAAATTCATATATTTTGGTTTATTCTGTATCAATCAGAGATTTGTATTCCTGTATCTTATTAGTGGTATTTAATATTAAAATAATATTGAATATCTTTTAGCGGCTTCCATAAGCCTTTAAATAACTAGGTATTACACCACTTCATTTTCGAGCAAGAACATCGATATCATCTTTTCGTGGCAGACTGGCATCAAATGAATTCGAGTACATTATCCCTACCTCCATAACCATAGCATTTTGAGTTTTTTAACGTGTAAATGAACTGGGATTCTGGTACGGTCTCATCTTGGAAGTTTGTGGCATCAAAATTGAAATATCACAATTCGATTATTCACAAAGATAACCAGAGTTGGATTTCGGAATACCAATTCGATAAAAGTATTATCATTTTCCCCAGATCCTTTGCAACCCGGCATAAAAAACTGGTGGCTCCTCCAAAATGTCTTCAACGGAAACACTTGAGATTGTAAAGCACCAAACCAGCATCTGGGCAGTAACGACTCGTATTGCAGTCGTTGACGCAGTTGTCTCAACACCTGTCGCTCTTCCATCATCTACAGAACACTGTAGTATCACTCATCACAAACATATTAATTTTTGCCCTGGTGAATACCTCGCGGTCATAATATGCCTTCTTGGGTTTGTCATTGGACTATCATAAACTTGTGCGCTTCCTATGAAGTGTTGCAGAAAGATGTCAAGGATTTGATCGATTGGTTAAAGTATCGCCCAAAAGAGGAGTGGGAAGATATTATAGATTCGCGAGCTGACGCTTTGGGCACATGGACAGAATATCCCCCCTATAAGGTGGATCATTTCAAGAAAAATAAAAGATCATTGCTTTCCATCTGTATGCTGTGCACTGTATAAGAGATTCTGAAGATATGCACTAATGGTCGTGTGGCAGTTCGAGGAGCTTCAAATGCAATCGAACGGGACAATGATGTCAAAGATTACATACGGGGCGTGAGGGGATCCAGCAAGAGTATAAAGGTAGATGACGATGGAAAGATCTCGCCGGATACCATAGATGACCTGTTCTTGAACGTGTACCCCTTGCGGAAGGAGTAAATGTTGGACGACATTCAAAAACTGCATACCCAATGCACTTTATCCTACGACAATTTTTCTGAAACATAGAATCTCCTCCTATGTGTGTTCGTATTCTCAAGATTTATAAAAAAAGGCATTTCATATGAAGAGAGCCATTGAGAATGGTCAGAGCAAATCCTTTCCTCACACACCAGATAAGCCTTCTCTTCATTATGAATAGAAAGAACTTTCTATTATTGAGATATCAAACACGTTACATAGGTATGAGAGCCGGACAATCCAGGTGTTCTGAGCGTTTTGCTCGCAAAAAGAGGATGTATATACTCTGAGTTACTTTTAATTTCTCGTCAATGTTTGGATTATTGTCAACTTAGACTTTATAGTGATTGAGAATGCTGCCGGTATAATGGATGGTGAATATCGATCATAGCTAAATCGACGATGATTATATGAAAAATGAATAATAGACAGTGAAAATATACTCTCGTCTCACCCCGCTCATACAACCGCAAATTCAAACCTCCAAAATCCAAGTCCCTTAAATCTCAACACCATACCATCATCCCCACACCACACCACACCGAGCGCCCCATACCAATGTTGTCCGTCTCGGAAGATCCTTTGAAGATTGAAACTCTAGAACAGATATCAAGCTTTATATACCTAGCGTTCTATGCCACACAATTACCCTCATAAACTACCTTCCTACCTTCCAAATCAGATCTCCAACTCATTGTGTGCCGTAAAAGCAACTGAATATACATCCACCCTCGCTTCACTCTCGTCTAATCCCCTCCTCTTTTCTCCACCTTACCTTACCTCACCTCACCCCCACCCATCATCACTTCCCCGCTCTCCCTCTTCCCCTCCCCAAAGTTCAAACACAATTTAAAAACACCCTCCCCCATCCCAAAAAGTAATAGTCATCATCATACGAGTATACTAACGAAGAACAATAGAGCGTCTTGAGAGATTGAAGCCTTGCATTGAAATAGTAATTACATCTCCTAAAACTACACTTCTAAGTTTTCCCAGAGCGTTTTGATTTGTATGCTGGGAGATTTTTTGATATAGTAAGATAGATAAATAGATAAATAAATAGATAAATAAATAGATAAATAAATAGATAAATAAATAGATAAATAAATAGATAAATAAATAGATAAATAAATAGATAAATAAATATAAGATCATTCATGAGAGGCTATCTTACTAATAATAACAACAACAGTAAAGATAACAATAACAGTGAAAAAAAACAACAGTAAAGATAATCCCTACACCAATAATAAAGAAATAAGCAACAAGAATGAAAGACGACACCAATCAAAATCAACACCAACACCACCCCAATCCATCCATCCTTCCCTAGCAATCCCACCCAAACTCTATACTCTTATACATCCCCAACCCCTCGTCCCCTCAAATCCACCCCCAGGTGCAACCACAGAAAACTCTTTCCCTAGCATTCTCGTAAAGGGATTGATCCAAACACCATCTACAGAAGAAAGTCCCCTCACAAAGTTAATGCTTTCTATACCCTATTTTCCTAATTTCTGTCCCACATTCACCTTCTTCTCTTAACCCCTCCCCTTCTTAACCCCTTCCCTTCTTCCTCTTAATCCTCTCTTCCTCTCCCCCTCTCCCCCTCTCCCCTCCTATATCCCCACTCTTCTCTACCTCAAACCATACCATACCAACTCAAACCAACTCAAACCAAACCAAGTCGACACCACAGCACAAAATCAGCATTCGCTTGACTTGACTTTTATCTCGTTTTCCCATACATAACATGTACCTGCTATCTCTAGGGCTATCTACTACACAGCAATTACCACCTATTCCCGTATCCACCTCAGCACCCACTGACCTCCTCATCTTTTCACCTATTCTCTGCTACAAAAGCAACATTTATATCAGCACTCATTCACCCATCTATTCATCTATTTATCCATCCATCATTCCAACCACTCAGACAACACAATAAACACAGACAAAATAAACATACAATCACAGCTCTCACTTGCAACCTGGAAGATGAATTTTCACATATGATTTTCACCAAATCATTCATTTCACACATATCACTCATTAGAAACCCCCAACCCGAAACCCATCTCTTATCATTTCAAAGTCATCCATTCATTCTCATTCTCATATATATCCATCCATCCATCCATGCAAGCACGCACGCACGCATGCATGCATGCAAAGTATCCATCCATCATCATTCTCGCCAGCGAGCTCTTAACAAGCTCCCCAAAATATAGAGAAGAGACTGGTCTATCCAGACTAAACGTCCATGTAAAAAATGACTACGAACTGAGGAAAGAATATCCTGCCCCCCTCCCTCACCAACCGTACCAAAGTGAAGAAGTATAGAAGAAAAGAAAAAGTGAAGAAAAAAAGAAGTATATCCACCACCTAATTCTCCAAATCTACACGAACCACATCAATCAAATATCTCCAACATTATTCCACACAAATTTCCAATCAATATCTCCCCCCAAGAATTATTAACCCAATTCAATATGACTCCATATCAAATTCATTTCTCTCAAATATGCAACCAGATCTTAATGTCCTAGCCAATTGCGCAATTATTCAATAATTGGATCTTCACCAAGGACCCCTGCCGATGCAACACCATCCTCTTTCTTTTGAGCACCTGCGCCACCAAAAGCCCATCCCATCCAACTAGCTCTTTTAGCCTTCGTTTTTGCCTCTTCTTCTTTGTCCTGAACCAATTGCAATGGTTTTGGTTTATTACCTGCAAACTTTCTCGCCTCTTTTCGTGGAGGACTATTAGTACTGGGCGGTGTACTGACCTCACCGCTATCTCCGCTTATACTACTAGTTTCGCTCTTGAGACCCGGGAAATTACCCGCTGTGGGTACTTGACCTAAGGAAGGGTGGCGAGAAGTGGGCTTACCGGCCATGGGACCAGTCCCGAAAAAGGTTTGCGAGTGTCGAGGAGTTTGGGGTCCATGGAGGGGTGGTGAGGTTTGTCCACCTCTATACATTTGATTAACAATTGATGCTCCACCGCCTGTATATTGTTCTGATTTAGGACGGACTCCTTGTCGAACACTTGATGAACGGCCAACTCCGAATGGTATACTAGGTGCTGTTTCGGGATCTTGATTGAGAGTTCCATGGCTCATTGGCATAAAAGATTGAGGTCTTGGTTTGCGACTTCCCATAGCTACAGTCTTCGCACGTTGAAGAATAGATGCGCCACTAGCTTGCTCTTTTGGTGGAGGTGGTGGAAGATCTTTATCCTTATTAACAGGACCCTTAGCATCTCCAGATTTGAAATCCGAATCAAGAATTGCTTCGAATTCCTGGTGTTGTAGTAGTCGCTCAATAATTTTGTTGATATATAATGTTAAAGCTTTATTCTGGTCCTTGGCAGATTTTAATTCGGCTTCAAGACGACGTTGTTGATCACTTTCGCCTTCATTGTCGTTAAGTTCGGAAAGTTCATCTGCGAGAGAAGCCCCTGGTGATCGTCCCTCCAAAGCATTCAGCGCATCGGCGTTGGAAGATGAACCCATGTATTCAAAATGATCCTTTGAGAAATCGCCGTTCAATGTCTTTTCTTGTAAAAGCAATTGGAAACTCTCATTGTCTTCCATCAATCTTGCATTTGTCATACGTGCTTCCAAGAGTAATTTTTCGACCTCTTGCATTCTTCCACCTCCCATGTTCTCGGATTCTACCAATTTGATTTGAGCTTCTGCCAATTCTAATCGTAAGGATTCAATAAGTCTGTCTTTCTGAAGGAGTAATTTGGAATTGTTGCGAGAATCGCTGCGATTTAAACCGGATGGAGGAGCGAATTGGCCATTTTCGACATTTGGGGAGGAATTATTTGCTTGATAAAGTTAGCATAAGGAATTGTCAAATAACTTGTCTAGTAACTTACAACGTCTAGACAATCGTGATTCTTCATCTGACGAAGATCTTTGCGATAGAGAATCCTTTAGTCGCTGAATGATTGTCTGCATTTCCTCCTCTCGATTTGCCATTTCTTCCCTCTCCTTTGTCATGGAACTTCTCTCGGCTTCATAGATAGATTCCATCTCCCTCTTTTGTCGAAGAGCATCTCTCTTTTCATTTTGTAAAGTTTCCAACTTCTCTTCATTCTCGTGTAGACGATCCTCCAATTTCCCTTGATCCTGTAGAGCTTCATCTAATCTTGACTGGAGAACTTGAGCTTGCTTTTGGAATTGCTCCGATATGGTTTCTGTTTTACGAAGTCTCTCCTTCAAATCATCCAAAAGAGCAATGTTCTCAGCCCTTGCGTCATCATCGGCAACAGATGGTACACTGTTTGAACCCAGATTGGATGTACCAGCGCCCGGTCGTTGCATGGCAGCTCGTGCGGATAATGGGGTACCACTGCGTATTGAACGACTTCGTGCGTGTGTTCCGTTTGTAGTAGGTGAGGAATCTTTTGTTGGTGAACGTGTTGCAGTTCTACTTGGAATACCGGTAGTGGAAGTATCTGATGACGTTCTGCGACCAGCTCCTAGAGATACTGGGGGTTTCTTTGTAGCTGTTGACATTGCGATTGTTGTGTATCCTGAACGAGGGTATTAGGCAAATACCGAAACGGTGATTTCGTAATGAATAATTGATTTGAAACGTATGCTCGTTAAAGAGTAATAGAGAGAATGTAGCAAGATGGTAGTAGAATCTTCAGTAATCTTAAGGATTAAGGATTAATTGTTGTGTTGCATGAATGTTAATAAGTGTCTGAATAAATTTGTATCGTATCGTTACTGATGGAGCTATTCTTGGAGATTTTGTAGGACTAGGTTGCTGTGATTGTATGGTTGTATGGCTGTATGGCTGTATGGCTGTATGGCTGTATGGTTGTTGGGTCAGATCCAAGGGTGGCTCCGTTTCTCAGTTCCTCCGTGTGTGTGATTTATATGCCGCTTCCGTTCAATCTGTGAATATGGAGGCTTTGCATGGAGGCTTTGTATGGAGGCTTTGTTTGTTGTTATCGGAGCCGTTTGTAGAGATGCGTGAGTGAAACGACAGTATATGAGGTGAAATTTAAGATTTGCGATCAAGTCGATGTTTGACTTGTGATTCAGGTGAATTTACATACAGTAAGAATGCGGTCTGGTATGGGCAAAGTAAGGGAAGATGCGGTGCGATAAGATTTCGTTATGTATCTTGTTCAACATATACCGCATGTAGTAACCGCCCTAATGTACATGTGTGAACGGTTGATGCGGTTGAAAACAAAAAAGACTGGGTAACGGGATGGGAAGTGCACCATGGGCGTGCATTGATTTTCTGATCAGGAGATACAAGTGAAGGAAGGGGACGATGTAGCTGTGCCTAGGTGAAGGGTGTGATGGAGTGAAGGGTGGTGTAGTGAAGGATGATTCCAAGGATGATGGATTTTACCACAAAGGACCTGGGAAAGGGAGGGAAGTGGTTGTTGTTTTCTATACGTGTTCAAACCCCTGGTTATGGATGATTTTGAGGTTATTATAAGTATTACGATTATTATTACTACTGCTATTATGATTATTATTATTATTATTATTGTTGTTGTTGTTGTTGTTGTTATTATTATTATTATTGTTGTTATTATTATTATTATTATCATCATCATTATCATCATTATCATTTGCCTTGTATAATCGTTGATTGTTTGTTGTATTCCAAGCAACAATAATTGATACCGGTACCTAGGTAACTCCAGTCAACTCCTATGTCTTTTTATTAATCTATAAAAGTCTGGCTTCGATATTCATTACTGTACCTGGATACGGTCTGGATTTCTCCATGACGAGCAAATCACTGGCCGTTCTCAAATTTCCATATGGTATGGTCAATTCACCAGAGATAACCATAGAAACCCGCACAAGGGACCATGCATTTTCATAGTTGCATGATCTTAAATCTCCGCTCTTTCACCGTTTTCATATTCATAAGGAAATGATACTTATTAGTACTACCTAGGTAGTATTGATTCACTTACCAGGAACTTCTTTCGGAGATCAGTTTGTTTTCATTCTTATATATAGAGAGAGTAAAGAGTGCACTTGATTGTTTACAAGTCAATTCTGATGAAAATTTCATCGTTGAAGTCATGAAAATTTCATGGTTGATCACTTGATATTGACGGTGATGGTGGTGTAGCATGTTGATCAAGGGTTATCCTCATATGTGAATGACCTGGCTCGAGCCCGGGTGAATGTTGTTGTTGTTGTTGTTGATATTGGCATGAACTCGAATATGCGGAATCTGTAAATCTGGGATTATCACTTCTCGCGGAGCAGTATGGATCTGAGTAAACCATATCTACGAAACAATCCAGGGCCATCTTTATATTTGACGTCTCCATAGCTACAAAAGTCCAGATGACAAGAACTTTCTCCTGTATCATGTAAATGGATGCCTTCTCAATTCATGTCAGGTGATCAAACCACTCATGAAGGTCACGCTTGATTTCCCAGACGTCTAGTCCACTTCTGACTTAGCGCAACCATCCTTAGCGTCCCACACTGTGAAAATATTCAGAACTTTTCGAACTTTTCATAAGTGAATCTACAACCTCAACGACAACACCAAACTTTCAAATCCAAACAGCCGGAGCGCATTATCCAATTTCAAACCCGCAGAGATGGCACCAACAACTAAGAAGGCTAAGAAGACCGCCGACTCCATCAACAGTCGTTTGGCACTTGTTATGAAGTCCGGAAAGGGTATGCAAAAAATGGTTTTCCAATTGAAATACAATTCAACAAAATACTAATTATTATCTTTTACAGTCACTCTCGGATACAAGTCTACTCTCAAGCAACTCCGATCTGGAAAGGCCAAGCTCGTCATCATTGCCGGAAACACCCCTCCTCTCCGCAAGTCTGAGCTCGAGTACTACTCCATGTTGTCCAAGACTCAAGTTCACCACTTCTCCGGTAACAACGTACGTACACAAACATTTCATTTGTCAAAACATCCGTCTATCGATCAGACCTGAGATCAGGTCTGGGAGGACATTGCCCAGCGATAAAGTCTCTCTAGACTTTGGAGGGTATTCAGTTGCTTACTTTTTATATATATAGATTGAGCTCGGTACTGCTTGCGGTAAGCTCTTCAGATGTTCCACCATGGCTGTTTTGGATGCTGGTGATTCCGATATTCTCTCTAGCCAAGCTGCATAGATTAGGAATATCAATCATTAGTATTAGTTGTCGAGGTGGAGAAATTCTAGATGAAGGAATAAGATCAGTCAAGATTGATTAATCTTTGACATGTATCAGTATGCACCTCTTGCATAGCTTTATAGCATTACAAAATGATATACCTTTATTCTAGGAAACAGTTTCCACTCTTATGTCCTATATTGTCTATGTTGATATGTGTGTTACCCGATTCATGTTCACTGTGACTCACACCGGCTTATGTTGATGTGGAAGGATTTCATCCCGAAAGCCGGACTTGATCAAAAGCCGGACACTGTATACTTAAAAATCTTGATGCTGACAATTAATGGCGACATTTATAATATATAAAGCCCAAATAAGTCTATTGTGAGACATGATGATACCTCCTACTTTCATTTGAAATCGACTTGATTTCAAATAGAAAATTGCCACTATTCCCATCTCCGGAACTCCAGTTACCTCATTTGGCAAATTATCAAGTTTGCCCTAAAGAAATTCTCGCTTATATATCCACAAGCGGATTAGTACATTTTTGCTGAGCAATCAATCCAACTTTGAAAGTTCCCTTTTGAATCCCCCGATCCCCTTGAACAAACCCATCGACATCAACACCAAAAAGACCCTCTAGAAATAATTCAAGATGGCCCGTCGCCCAGCGAGATGTTACAGATACTGTAAGAACAAGGTGTGTAAATCTCATTTTTCGCCATCAAATTATCATCGAACTATGCGAGGTGGATTTGAAGGATTTCCGACCACTCGATTGCCCGCCTTTTCGCATCAAAGATCACCAACGAATGTATCGGAATGGCGCCACATTTACGATCGCAGAATCACAATAAACAGAAGGAATTAATACTGATCCAATTCAATTTTATAGCCTTACCCAAAGTCCCGTTTCAACCGTGGTGTTCCCGACCCAAAGATTCGTATCTTCGATCTCGGTCGTAAGAAGGCAAATGTCGATGAGTTCCCTCTCTGCATTCACTTGGTCTCCAACGAGTATGAACAATTGAGTTCCGAGGCTTTGGAAGCCGCCCGTATTTGCGCCAACAAGTGAGTTCAACCCGAATCGATGACGTCGAGTGAAGGAACTTGATCAAAGTGGAGATGGAATATAGCGGATGACGGGAAGATCAAGTGGAATTATCGTGATGGATACTAACATCACATTCAACAGGTACATGGTTAAGTCCGCAGGAAAGGAATCTTTCCATCTCCGTGTCCGTGCTCACCCATACCACGTCGTCCGTATCAACAAGATGTTGTCTTGTGCTGGTGCCGATAGATTGCAAACTGGTATGCGTGGTGCTTGGGGTAAGCCAAACGGAACTGTCGCCCGTGTCAACATTGGTCAAATTATCTTGTCCATCAGAACTCGTGACTCTTGTAAGTTTACATTCAAGATTTGATATATCTACAATCATCTAACAAGTTTTTAGTCCGCCCCAACGCTCTCGAGGCCCTCCGCAGATCCCAATACAAGTTCCCAGGTCGCCAAAAGATTATTGTTTCCAAGAACTGGGGTTTCACTCCTCTCCGTCGTGAGGAATATATGGAGAAGAAGCAAAGTGGAAAGGTTTTGGTCGATGGTGCATATGTTCAATTCTTGTCCAACCACGGCAAGTTGGCCGATAACATCAGACGTTTCCCAGCTGCTTTCGAGACTGAGGCATAAATCGAGTCATTGATATCAAAGGGAATTTCGGGGTATGATCACAAAGGCGTACATTTGCAATGGCTGGATTAGCATGGTGTCACATAAAGTGGCAGACACAAATCCTAATCATTGTACCTAAGGAATTGATTCTACGACTTTCAAAAACTCAACATGTTATTCTCATATCTGACGACTCGGTGATGTGACTATCTGTGATTTTAACATGAAGATTATGCTTTTTTGAGATATCTAACATCAAAGGTCGTGTAAGGAACGACAATCAAGAGCTCGTATCAGCTTACAACGCAGCAGCCAAGATGAGAGAGGTAATCTGAAGTGGTATATCGGATCGCGCTTGCAATGAAACGCAAAACTAACAATGCAATATGACAATGACAATCACGACAATCATGACAACATTTCCAAGTCTTCTTGCCTCTTGTAAGCTTTGTTAGATCAGCAAGTTCGTGGCAATGGAGATATTTCTTCCGGATCTTTCCATCCAACAAAATGATACGCCTTACAGACTATTCCATTCATAATCTAGCCTTTTATCTCAAACAACTACATACCGAATTGATTGGCTGGCACGACTGCGGCTGCACCACTATGATATTACTATTTTGAGAGATTTTCTTTGCTTATCGCGGCTGGTTTGATGCTTGATAGGTGATGGCTGATGTCGGATGGATTAGGTTGATGATGCATATCCAACTGTGTTGGAAAAATGCGAAAAGAGTTGAGAAGGGGAAGGGGAAGGGGAAGGGGTGATGAGATAAGAACGGGATGAGTAATTACTTAATCTATGGGAGATGGCGGGAGAATCTAATTGCGTGGGATGGATGATGTGATGGATGATGGATGGATAATGGATGATGGATGATGGATGATGGATGATGGATGATGGATGATGGTTGATGGTTGATGGTTGATGAAATATTCCGGTACCTTCCAAAAGTAACTCTTAGATATCTATGCATACGGAGTAAGGTACATATGATTAGGTTATCTAATTTCAATGAAACAGAGTCAAGGGAAAAATTCTGATGTGCAGATAATCAGTTCATTACTCGCCAGTATCTCAGCTAAGCCAATTTTTATTTCTTTCTTCTTTCCTCTCATCTAGATGAACACAAACTCATTTTTCTTTCTTTTTCAGATAATCCCATTATTCCAATCGTTCCTTTTCCTTTCATCTGTCAGTGATCACCTCTACCACCTCTACCACCTCTATCATCATCACTTTGATCTGAGACATTGATATCCAAACCCCACCTCGTCCGCCCATTCCTTATCCCAAAACAAGTCTTATCCACCCGTCCACGTGTACGCGTGCTGTACAGAGTACTTATCCATTTAGTTCAGTCACGCCAGTTATTTAGTTTGAACCGTTGATCTCGCACTAGCAGACTCGACTCGTTTGTACGTATCGTCGAGTACGTACATTGATTGATATTTATTGATTTATTGGTACCACATCTCGAGGAATGAAGTTTTGATATTCGGTTTATTGGTTCTGGATTATTATTCTGTTCAAGTTTGCTTCATCAAAGGACATACCTATTAAAGACGCGGGGAATTACTAGACTATAACCATATTATCCACAGAGCGTGGTGGAATTTGCCTGTCGAATCCCGAGTCGAGAATCTAGAGAGAGATTCTAGAGATACTTAGTATACATCAAAACCATACGTCAAGACTTGAGTCTAGAAAAGTCGCCTTATTCAACTCGGGTGGCTAATACACTAGCCTGTTCGGTCGTCGTACAATTTCATGCTCGATCAAAGTCATACGAGACTCGAACCCCTCTATTGACAAAGTCACACTATTAAATACGAAACATTCAAACGCTCTCATTAATAGCCCATTCTCACCTCGATATTGTCACAACCTACTGCGATTGTTTCAATTCTATTACGAAGACACGACAAACGAGATCACGAAAGAGGTTTTAGACTAATATCTTATTGGTATTCATTGACATCTATACAACATACCACCAAAGATGGCTTTTAGACAACCTACATATCACGCCCCTCCTCGAATATTTACGCAACCGAATCGAGATGCGAATTCGCAGACGCAAAGCCAACAAAATGCACAAGAGAGAGATGGGCGTGTAGAAGCAAGTCAAGAATGGGTATTATTCTCGCCAGCTGCGCCAAGTTTTACAGAGGGTACTTATACAGCTAGTACGGGGAGAACGAGAGGAACGCGCACAGCTGGTCATTCAAGGATTAGCGATTTTGGAAGTTTAGAAACTGCGGCAAGGAGTTATGGAATTTATGATGATCATGATGTGGATGAGGATGTGGATGCGCAAACAGAGGATGATAATGAGGATGCCGAATTGGATTCCTTGGATAGTCATTTACATGAATTTCGAACGGATCCCAGTGTTTATGGGGATAGGGAAGACGAAGAGGGACCTGTTTTACCGAAACATGATGGTCTTGGGAGTTTTAGGGTAGACGGGATAGGTGAGGATGTTCAACAACATTTATATTCATTTGAGCAATACAATCCGAGGAGAGTGAAGAGGAGGAGAGAAAGTTTGGAAATTGGAGAAATGGCTTTGGAGAGTGAGAAAGCGGCGGAAATGGAAAGGACGAGAAGGATTGAAATTTGGAGGCTGGAACAGAGCAGGGCTTTGGTAGATGAGATACAACGAGAGACTAGAAGAAGGAAACAATCTATGTCAAGTGAAAAGAGGAGTATTGTTGTTGAAGATAAGGAACAAGAGGATTTGGTTACATTGAATAATGTCGAATCAGAACCAGCCCCAACGATTACACGCGAAAATGACAGTTTATGGAATAGACTCACTCGAAGAGTTATACGAGATTTAATGGGTATCGATGATGATCTCCTGTCAATTATTTTCGGCGAATCTCTGCCAATGGATGAAGAACTATCAAAAGCATCAGGAAGAGCCATACCTATTCCCGCTACTCAACCTGATGAGAGTTCCTGGGAATATAGACTGCTTGAACGAATAGCTCGCGAATTGGGATTGTTGGTCAATCAACTCTCAGATCATCCTAGTGCTTTTACAACATATCTTCAATCTCAGCAGACACCCCTTCCTTATGCAGGTTTACCCGTCATCCCAGAATCAGCATCTAGTAGCAACTCAAATATGGCTACGGGTATTCCTTTACCGGATCTGGAATTGGAACGAGAACAAGAAGAACATCTCGGCTCAACTTTAAATACCGATGACGAACTAGAATTCCATCCCACAATTCCTCGACCAATATCGATCCCGAACCAAAGTAAAGCAGAAGAATTAGAGGATTCGACACCAAGGCAATCCTATAGTGCTCCTATTACAAGAGAAGAATGGGAGAGGGATTTGGATATTAAAATGGTCTTTCGTTACTTGAAAAGTAGGTTTACGAGTCGAAGCGATAATGTACCTACTCCAACTGCTTCGAGTTCTGGTTCAGTATTATCGAAAAGTACGAGAGAAAACTTGGCTGTGGAAAACACACCAGATTCATTGGCAAGAGTGGCGAGAGTTAGGGCTCATCATCCACTTGTTAATCTCAAGGCGAATAATGGAGGAGTGAGAAAGAGAGGGGTTGTGGGAAGAAGAGGATCAAGTGAGAGTGGAGTAGGTCTAGGGTTAGGTGGATTGGGGAAAGGGATAGGATTGGGAAGTGGAGGGGTACCGATTGGTGGAACACTTAAGAGTTTGAGAATTGGAAGTGGAAGCTCGAGACATTATTGGGATATTGGAGGGAGTTTAGGAGGAAGCAGTACAAGGGGAAGTGTAGTTGTAGGGGGTGGAGGTGGTCCGGGAATGGGTGCTTGGGGGGAAGTTTGACGTGAAGGAGTAAGATGGGATAAAGTCATGATTTGATTTGATAATTGGGATGGTGAATGAGGTAAATGAGATGGATGAAATTTTATACACGAAGATATGAACGAGCGAGTATGCATGGACAAATGGAGCATTTTGGGTTGGATTTAATGAACATATCATATTATAAATATACACATAGCGGGGATATTGGGTCTCTCCTTTTGGGATTTGGGAGGGGAGCATTTAATGGGATTTTTTTCTCATTGGGAAGTTCGAAAGAGATTGGGATGGGTTTAGATATCTGTTTGGATTATCTGTAGATGGAAATATTATTATTGTGTGGGTTGGATTTGAATTCAATGAATGTAGATGATCGTTTTGATGATTGTTTTGATAATAGCTATGGTGGAGTTCTTATATTCCTAGGTATCTGATGGTTGTGAGTCTGTAGATGAGTGGATGAGCAGGTGAGTGTGAGTAGGTGAGTGGATGAGGAGCGGGGTAAGGTAATAGAGGACACGTGAGGAGGGGGGGGGAGGGGAAGGAAGGGAAAGGAAGGGGAGAGTAAGATGATGATGATGATGATGATGATGAGATCCTGAAAGAAAAGTAATAAGTAACAAGGGATTTCATAAGTTCTATTGATGATGATGATGATTTATTGTTCTTATTGAGAAGTAATCTGGTAGTGATGGGATAGCATGGGATTGCCGGGGTGGGATAAGAATAGTATGCGATGGGATGATAGTGATAGGTTGGAATGGGGATGAGAATGATTCTGAAAAGGGAAGGGGAAGAGATGTGATAATGTAGATGGGGAAGGGAGGGAGGGGAGGAAATGGAACGGATGGGAATGGGATTTTGGTATTTGTAATGTTGATTGAGATTGAGATTGAAATTCTGAAAGGTTTTGTATAAGATTTCATTTTCTTGGGGGGTTGGGATGGGATGGAAGAGGGGAAGAAAAGAAAGAGAGAAGAGAAGAGAAGAAGATGGGGAATTAGGCTTTATAGGGAAGTCTGGAGGGGAAACGAGAGGGAAGATGATGATTGAGAATTGAGATTCTGGTTTTGACTCTTGCAGATAGCAAAATTCACTGGCTAGATTGGTGAGATTGGTGAGATTGGAAATTGATTTGATGGTGATGGTGATGGTGATGGTGATGAAATTTGGAGAGAGGGAGGAGAGAAGTGAGAAGTGAGGGATGGGATTACTAGACTGGATATGAGATTGGGGAAAGGGGGTATGATGTAATATATTGTTTGAGATGAAGAAGGAAGGAGAGGGGCATGAGGGGATTTGTAGTGTGAGATATGAATTGGTATGATATAGAACTAGATTTAATGAAGTGAGAAGGTGATGAATAAGTGACTTGGTTGATTGATTGATTAACGGGTTAAAAATGAAGGGAAAGAAGACTCACAAACTTGGAATTATAATGTGGTACTTTGATAAGAGAAGGAGGGAGAGAATTGTGCTGGTGTGTATTGATGTGAAATCTGGAGGGAGATAGTGAAAGGATTCTTGATGTGATGATGATGGGGAGGGTGAAAGATAAGGAGGGAAATGACGGGCACACGTTTGTTTTGGCAGCGAAGAAATGATTTGGTATGTGAGGTTGATTGAGAGACTGGGGGCTATGGGAAGAGTTATCCAGGTATCTATACAACGGGAACTAGAATTGTGGAAATCAAGGCCCAGTTATTGAGATAACTAGGGTGATTTCATGATGGGCAGACATTTCGTGTGTGCATGATGGATACGGATTCGAGAGAGAAAGGGGGACTTTTATAGAGGAGAGTTGAGAGTTGAGAGTTGAGAAGGGAGATTTGAGATTTGGATTGGTGATGGGAGTTGTGGATCTGAGTGAATAGGAAGAAGGTGGAAAGGGGAAGGGAAGACAAGTGGGACTTCGTTGTATCAGTGGTGTATATAAGAAAATGAGATAATCGGATGGAAATCCGCAGAAAATGTATGCAGTGCAACAACAGATGAATGAGACGGAGACGGAGCATGGGAGTGAGATTTGAAGTTTAAGGGAAAGCAAAGGAAAAAAATGAGAACTTTGGTTATGAGTATGAAGACAGGGAATGAGACAAACGTGGGTGGTGATAAAATTTTACGGTGAGAATTGATGATATGAAGTAGATAGATGAGATGAGAGTGAAAAGAATAGCGAGAGTCAAAAGGAAGACAACGATAATATATAGTGAGAATCAAGAGAATAGGAGAATAGAAAGACGTTGCAAATAGGATGATTAGACTAATAGTCGAAGAATAAGAGAACATCTGTAAATTTAGTGTGATGGATTCCTTGATTTAGTAGTAGATCCGGCTGGAAATGGTTTGAGTATAGATAATCTAAACAAGAAGAAGTCTATAAATAACAGGAAATATGAAAGCTTTACAAAATGAGGAAGAGTAAGGAAATCGGGTTAGCGAATGGAGTTGCTAAGGAACCTACCTAGTCAAGAAGAGGAATGAGCGGAAGTTTTGATTTCTGGAGTTTGGAGTGCTAGGTAGGTATATAAATAATTGTTGGGCTATGAGAATTGTGTATGACTACTCGAGTCTCTCACAAGCTAATTCCAGAGGTAGTTTTGAAGACTGGCGAAAAGCTTTGGAAACTAGGTTGTAAACTGGTTAATCCTCTTGTTGAGAGGGAAAGGGGATGGGAATAGGGATTTGGGAATGAGAATATGCGGATGCAATACTGATTGATGATTGGGAATTGAATGATAGCGGAAATGATGTACGATAGTGATGAGTGATGAGAATAAATGACAACAGATGATATTGTATGCTCATCATACACTAGGATATAGTCCGAGGACTTGTACGGCGGAAGCGACCTGGAAAGTTGAGAGGAACTTCTACTCCAAGATCGGAAATGTCCAAATTCATTCCAATATCTGCTGGCTGCTTTGGTTCTTTGTATGAAGAGTGCCATGGATGGAGCTTCAATGGGTTTATAGTATGGAAATGAGTGAAGTGGATGTTTGGAAAGTGAGGTGCCTGTGTAGTAAATACAGACGAGGACAACCAAACATTGAATTTTTTTTTTTTTTTTTTTTTTTTTGGAAATGATTTATGAACTAACTTTTCTATATATCTCTAAGTACCCCTGAATTAATAAAATTCGAATATATAATTAATAATTAATTTATACTCCTATTAAATATAAAAAGGGAATAACAACTTCATTTTAAGTCCCATTTAATCTTTTTTATCTTAAATATATATATAAATTTAAAATATTTCATTAATATTATCTAATATATATATATATGTATAAAAAATGAAGATTAATCTACAAAAGACGTACGAAAAAAAATTATTAAAAATTATTGAAAATTAATTTTTGACTATATAAATAGCAACTTTAATTCTAAAAAAAATTACCTTCGATATTTAAAATACTTCCTATATAAATTATAGATTAAAAATATCATAATTAGAATACCCTAAGTGAAAACTATATAACAGTATATAGAAAAGTGATTTTATAAATCATTTCAAAAATTCAAAGAAAAATTAAATAGATTTGATATATTTAATTGTCCTCGTCTATATAAATTGAGTACTTGATGACTTTAATGAGGAGAAATAGGAGTGGAAAGTAGTGGAAATGAGGTAGATGACTGTTTTCTAGACGATATGACTGTTTGTACGAATAACTACTGAGAAATCATGATAGTGTTTCGGGAGGGTAAGGTCTTGGAGTGTGAATGGTTAAGGAGGAGTACAGCTAGATGTTTAAAAGTCGAACACACTTGCAAGTAGACGAAAAGTTTAATCAACTAAATCAGTTTGAGAACTCGAAAGCAATATTAAAATCAAGTATAAATTTAAAATTCGCTAATACATAATTCATAAACTCTTTATAATCATATCTTTTCAACTTGCTCCACCCCTCCAGCATAATCTGCCTTCCCCGACGATTCCTCGTCCAATTCACCCCGCGGTAACTTGAGCGATAAAGATACAATCTTGAGAGTCGAAGGTGCATCACGAAACAAATTATTAAGCGTTTCCAGATCCTGATTCATCGTCTCCGGATAGAAGAAATACACCGAGATAGGAATAAGCGCCGAGATAATCGTATACATGATATAGTAGCGATATCCGATGGTATCGATGGCGACCGGTGTTACCATAACCACGACAAAGTTCCATAACCAATGATTCGCAGTTGATACCGAGTTCATTGCCACGCGAAGTCGGACTGGAGCAATCTCGCTGCAGTATAGGAAATTGGCACCTAGGAATCCGATGGGATAGAAGAAGTTGAATAGAAAGATGAAAAATGCTGAAGCGATAGAGGCACTCTTGTTGGACGAAGGGAAACTAGTGCTCACAGCCAAGGAGAGCATGCAAATTGCCATGCCGGCGCCACTGATCATAAATACCGCGCGACGTCCCCATCGATCAATGGCGACAAAAGCGATGAAGCAACAAAGAAATTTCCAGGTAAGGGCGCAAGCAGCTAGGATCTTAGCCAAGCTAACTTCTAGATTGAGATTTTGCTGAAAGATGGTTGATGCGTAGACCGAAATGAGATTACCTCCACACATCTGCTGAACAAATTGTAGGAATATGCATAGAATAAATCGGTAAAGCAATCTCTCCTTATCATCTTTGGAGAAAAGTTGCAAAAGTGATGCACTATTTTCAGTTGCAAATTCAAGCGATGACTCGATCTGGGCGATTTCGAAACGAATGCGATCATCTTCGACTGAAAGATCTTTGATCACTGATAGATTCTCGGTAGCCTCGGCAGTTTTTCCTACACTAACTAACCATCTAGGAGATTCGGGAAGAAGAAATACCACACCCATCATAACGAGTGAAAGCGGTAGGGAAATAATTGCCAAGGGTAATCTCCACTGTAAATTCGTGTTTGGAAGGTGGTAAAATGCGAAGTCGATCCAATTACACACAGAATAGCCGAAGCACAAAAAGATACCTGCAGTAACAACATCTTGCCCTCTGTGAGCTGCGGGTGAACATTCCGCTAGCCAAACTGGTATCATAACGCTGATTTGTCCAACTCCCATGCCTAGGACGAGTCGACCGATGACGAATTGAATTAAGTTATAAGCCGATACTTGGAGAACTTGGCCAATGAGAGTCAAGAAAGCAGCGAGAAAGATTGTCCTTCGTCTGCCTAGAAGATCTCCCAAAAATATGCATGATAAGGCACCCATTAAAGATCCAATTTGAAAAGATGAAATTACAGCACCACTGTTGATGGAATTGTGTGATTTGAGTGCACCGGTCGTGTTGACTGTATCCAATGATGGAAATTGATGTGCCCAACTATGAAGTGTCGCCAAGGGGCCAAGACCAGCTTGGTTGTAACCAAATAATGTGAAGCCTGGTCCGACGATAAATGCAATCTGGGCAATTCTTAGGGCTCTGCCTCGCAGTCCCAAGTAAGGATTTTTAGAAGACATGACGGGTAAGAAGGGGTGGACAAGACGAGGTGGACAAGACACGTAGTAAGGGCTTAATGAGAGAGAAGCGAAACAGATCGAATGAAAGTAAAAGGCCAAGATAGGATCCTTTTATTCCTGGGGAAACAACGATTCTCCGAACAACAAATCCGGGGAGTTTTTTATTTTGTGGAGTCTCCAGAATTGTCTCCAGAATTTACCCGACTACCATGAATTATGTGGGGTCTCGTGCTTGGAAAACGACTTTCTCCGCAATTAAACTTTTGACGTTGAGAATTAAACCCCTGTCTCGGCTATTCATGAAATCGGCCACAAGCAAGGGGGTAATTTCGGTATCATAGGTGTAGTGTATTAGATGCCAAAAGCGATGAAAGATGAAGAATGCTAAGATTTGAGGCTCTAGCTAGCTAAGTTGAGAATATTATCTCCAGAAGATTCGATGGTACAAACAAAATCAAGTTGTACCACAAGCGACAGTCGCTAGACCTGCCAAAAAAATCTTGATCTTCTAGCCGCTTATTAACGGCCCCATAGGATAAGGAAAGTTCCTCGTATATCGAAACCTGTTTGATACGCGAATTGCTTGTTGTTGACCCAATTTTCTCACCAATTTCCTCTTCTCCTTCTAAAAACGAGCCTGCGTCATTATTTTGAGCTTGGTCACAGCGGAGATTTCGAACTCCGCCGCTCTGACCAACACACAAATTTATGTGCGGACGCCCCCACCCCAAGCGAGCTGTTCGTCTCAATTTGGAAGAACCAAACCAAAAATCCCAATACTTTGGAAACGGTTGCATATGAGTTCGCCTTGTTGAGAAAGTGGCCAATAGGAAGAGATGTTGATCTATAGCCTTCACGCCTCACTTGACCGCGTCACAAGCGTCAACGACTTTATGTTGCGAATTCTTTCAAGATAGAGTATCCCAGATATCATGGGATTTTCTAATCGTGCCCATTGTAGTCTGATATTGCTTTGCACTCAAAGAGATGCATGAATCAAAGTCGGTGCACTTATTGCAGCTTGTATGAATGATGAGCTCGAAGCACGCATTTATCTCGCCCCAAAATCTCTCCATTGACTGAATCGCTCGTGGTGCAAGCGAAGTTGCCGCGGATACTGTACATCGATCAGAGCCGAACTCTTATGCGCTAGTTGTTCAACAACTCACAAGTACCCACTACCTAGGTATTTAATATGAAGTTTTTGTCTTCTCTTTCTTTTTATTAATGCAAATTTGACCACGTATCCTCGATATGGGATACTTGTCATATTTGCTAGGATTACTACGCAGATTGATGTTGGTAGTGATTATCTAAGGATTAGCAAGAGTATAACAGGGATTACCATTCTGTACCAGTTTGTCACTATTGGTGACGGTTGGTGATGTTGAACAGATGGATCCTTAGCCTGACTGGCTAACAGCTATCCCGATGACTAGCCGAATAGCAGCCGACTCCCGACAACTAATGTCTTCTATCCAGAAGTCTTTCCTTATCAAAGTATTAGCTCTGCTATTGTCATTCGATTTGAGAATTATATTGCCTTGTATATATTCCCGGTAACTCTTTCAAAGAGTGCAAGAAGAATGCTCTGATCATTCTTGGCCAAGAAGAAGAGCGGAAATCTCCATATCTCATGACAGCTTCTTCTGGGGGTGGCCCATGACTGCTGTTATTACTAATGGCGGGGGTATTGGTCTCCTCCACAGTTTTATGCAGTGGGTCTGAAGACACATTCTGTACAGGCATTACCCTGAAATATAACCCAACCTCTTGCATTCTATTTGAAACGTCTTTTCTCGCTATAGAGCTAACATGACTCAAATCGAGTTACGAGAGCCAATATATTCCATAGGTTAACTTAGTTCAATCCCCACTTTAAACACTTACATTACTCGTGAATCTCTATCCGCTTATGATTATTCACAAAAACTAGCATATCTAAAAGCCTACAACGGTAAGCCCATTCATCATCATACCACGCAATGATATCGAAGAACTTGAACATGTTAGCCAGAAATCCTGCCTGGGAGTGTGCAAGTTACTTACATTGGGTTTAAGCCCGACCAAAGCCTTTGAATCAATGATTGCACTACATGAGTTGCCCAGAAAGTCTGAGCTCACTAACTCCTCATTTTCAACCTGGAGAACACCAAATAGCTCCTATTGAGCCGAAGTACGGAAGTTGATCATTATTTCCTCGAGAGATATTGACTGTACAGTTTATACAGTCATGTCCACCATAGACAAATTTGCTGTTGGCAGCCGAACTGAGATACCAGAAACTCTACCGGCCAGCTCGGGCAACACTGTTTTTATAGCCTTCGCTGCACTAGTAGTGATTGGAATGATATTTCCCATTATCAAAGCATCCTGAGCGCCCAACCTTTGTGCTATATCCATCGAGAACATGTTGAGATCGGGTCGAGGCATTTATGTTGGTCATGAAAGCTTGTTGGATCCCAAAAGACTGCTGAAGGGCTTTCGTGATGGGAGTCAAAGTATTGGCAGTACAGCTAGCGCAAAATGGCTTCTAAGTGTGAGTAGTACTACGTACACCAACTTATATAATGAAAATGAGCGACTTCAATTGAAGCAGGAATACATCGATAGATAACTATTCGCGATGTTTTTATATTGCATACCACAGTCTTCAAACTTTGAGCTAGAAATATGTTCTTTGATGCGCCCTGGCAAAGGATTCTGCAACTGTGAGTCCATCTGCGGCCATTATGCTCTCACCAACATTGTGTATTGGTGAATTTCTTTGCCAGCTTGAAAAATCGGGGATGTCGCTCTCAAACTGGAGCTGAGAGTTCACAGGGCTCTTTTGCACTTCGATTGAGTTTGAGGGCCTTGGTAGACTAGAAACTGTACTAGCCATAGTCTCCTGGGTGATTGTGTCTGTACTCTCTGGAATATTCTCATGTCTTTCATTTGTAGGCTCCCAGTCAACAGGTGGGATGTCATCAATTCCATGAGCAATATGTGTTTCGGGGGTTGAAGTCTCTTCCGTTGGACCCCACTCCCTATTGAGTGGCTGAACATATTTCGTTTTCCGAGACCACCATGTCTCTAGATCAATATCTGACTCCAAAGGTAATTCTTGCCACTGCTCCATCAATTCACCCTTCGAGACTTGTGGAAATTCTCGACTGTCTTGGAATTTAGCATCAGAATAGTTGTACAGTCTCGACAGCGCTCTGTGTAGAGCGATCTCAGTCTCAATTAGACGGTGTTCGATTCCCGCAAGATAGCCGGGGGGTAAACCTCTTGATATTAATTTGGTAAGTCATAACTTGATATGTACAGGATATGCACTTGGTACCTTTTGTTCGCTTCGGAGTAATAACATCGTTGTGGGGCTCCCAGACATTTGGAGCATGATGGGCTTTGGTCCGTCAGTTTTTTCTTCCCTGAATAACTATCGATACACATGACATACAGTGTTTTATCACACTAGCCAAGAGTATCAGCAAACGAAACAGGCTTGATTTTGGGAATCCACTTGCCTTACATTTTCTCTGGCGACAGGGCTCACATGCTAACCTAGCTACTGGTAGTGACATTCTGGGTGAAATGTCAATAGCTCTCGAGGACACGAAGTCGAGTGGGGGGTTCCGTGAAGTTTAATGTCAGGGAAATCTACAACACCGGAATAGTTCTGTCCGGATCAACACAAAGGCGGTGAGATATCTTAGCGTAGGTACTTTTGTAAATCATCACGTGAATACGCATACCCCAAATACATACCCCAAATAGCACACATTGACACATTCCCGCCCCGTATGAGTGTCCAACAATTATCTAAGCTGCGAAAACCCTTCCACGGCTTCTCCACCTCCACCACTCTCCTCGCAGAACTCAATCCTCAGCTGAAATTCAACACAACACTCTCGACCTACATGCTTCCTATTTATGAATTTCACAAGATGACGCATTGACGTGTCTTTCGTAATCGTAATGATTCCAACATCAAATGCTACCTATCTGGGCCCATACTCTCCAAACAATGACAGTCATCGCACCAAACGTAGGAGAGTCGATGATGAAAGTAGCCCTATACGAGAAGTTGGGTTAATGAGAACAGACTTTGATCAGAGCAAGCCCAGGTTTATTGGTAGTGGAAGTGGAATTCATTTCATTCGGACAGTTTATGAGCTTCTTGCAGGTAAAGCGCACTCGACGCACACAAAACCGAACACAGCTACTCCTGCTTCAGAAAACATTGTGCCAGGCGAGGATGATCAATTGCCAGAATCTACCAATAATTCTCATCTCCTCTCCTCTTCTCCTCCATTTTTCCGAGAAAGTGAGGTTCGCGAAAGTTCCCAATTAAGCTCTGATCCCATTTCCTTCCATCAACTCGTAGAATTTTCGGAAAGCTATTTTACCAATTGGCACCCTCTCTTCCCATTCCTACACGCTCCAGCAGTGCTAGGGATTTTTGAGACAATCAGTCGACATGGAATTCAAGCAGTTGCTCCTTCCGACGCCTTGATTGTGCGATCGATTATATCAATCGTAAGCAGGTCGAACATCCCCGTGCTCTGCAGTTTCGCCATGAGACGATCCTAATTCTTGATCCAGTCACTCGCCGACAGTCGCCAATCTACTAAGCGTCTTCCCCAGGTTCCTCGTCACCTCATTTTCTACAACAACGCAGAACTGGGCTCTACATTTCAGTTTACAATGGCGCTTCCAGCAACTTTTGAGAATCTACAGGCTACAATTTCTCTAGAGCTCTTTTTGATTTCTATGATGAAATTTAACTATGCCAGTCGACTAGGCGGACTAGCTGTTCGGTAAGTACCTCGTCTCTTGTCTTACTACTTCGAAATTAATAGAAGAGAAGTATGACCTATGCTCTTGGTTGCCATCGATGTCCCGCTCGGTTTGACGGATTTACTCTCACAGAATCTCAACTGAGACGACGAGTGTTTTGGTCACTTTACTGTATGGAGCGGATGGTTTCACAGTCACTTGGACTTCCATTAGATCTTCGAGATGATGACATAGACGTCTGCTATCCAGGCGAGGAGAACCATATGCGAAGTGGGGGTGATAAGCTGAATTCGGAAGAGTCTAACGGTCTGTTTGTCTTATGAGCTGCCGGATTGATCTAGTGACTGATCAGAGTAGTAGTGCATCAACTGCGTCTTCTAAGAGACCTTTCTAAACATGCTCGAATTCGTGGTCGTGTCTTGGAACTCCGCAACAAATCTTTGTCCGGCCGTGAGGAAACCTTCGAGCGTGCTATGGGAATGCAAGCTGAGCTAGCGAAATGGGTGAATGAAGCTAGCGAAGAAGATGAAGATTCTCTAGTAGCTGAGAATAGCTCTTCTCTGTCACCAGCGCATAAGTTGGTTATTCAAATGCTGCAGCATGAGTCAACCATAGCTTTAAATCGGCCGTTGATCACTTCCAATTCGACCAACACTTATTCTCAATCTGCACTTCAAAACTGCATCAGCGCATCAAGAGCAATCATTTCTCTCTTGAGGGAATTTCAACGCAATAATGCGTCGCCAGATGGATCGCTGGCTCTGAAAGTCCCAATGGTCTGGCCGCTTTTTACGTGGTCTGCATGGATGAGCTGTTTTGTCCTTGCCTATGCCGCTTTAGAAGGGCATTGCAAACTTGGACCGGCAAAAAAGTGTATCACCATTCTCCTTCCTTCTCGGCTACACATGACACTAACAGTATCAGATATGCTAAAGAAACATTGGTAATTCTAGAACATCTCTCATTACGCCAAACAGTATGGCCAGACTCATGCGCCGATGCCGTTAAGCAACTTACTTATGCGCTTGACAGGAGCCATCAAGCTTCAACAGTAATCATCGGATCCAATCCACCGAACCAAGCAACTTTCACTTCAAATTCACAGCACGCAGCTGAGTCACAACATAGGAACGAAGCATCAACACACTCTACCAATCGCACTTTCACTCTTGAAGAAGCTTATTACAATAGTCATTTGATTGGTGCAGACATTGGTAGACCTCATAATAGCAGTAGTGAGTCCCAAAGGCGCATACCACATACTCCAATTTCATTTCCACGACCATTCAGTGTGGCGCAAACCTTAACTTTCTCACAAGCAGCCACTTCAGAAAGAATTCCGGAAAACGAATGGGATCAACTGGACCTCTGCCGAGGAGGATTGTTCGATCCACTTATTGCGATGGACTTTTCAAATTTTGCTACGGGAACAACAGATCCGGTTACATCTTCTGAAATACGTTGACTAATGACTCGGATAGTCAGTTTAAGTATTCAAGAGTACGAAAAACATTTACAGCTGAAACTAAAGGTGATACAACATCATAAAGTGGCACTATATTTAAGCAGAGTTCTTTCCCTTGAAAAATTTCTGTATCTCGGCACAAACCGCATCAGTCACCTCTGCCGTCCTTGCATTTCCTCCAAGATCCTGAGTTACGATTCCCTAAAGTTATTAGTATCTTTACAAGCTATTTAGATGACTTCACTTACCTGTTCGCACACCTTTTCAACACAATCTAGAAGGACTTTACTTGCCTTTTCCTCACCGAGCCAATTCAGCATCTCCGCGGCAGTCCAGAATGTTGCGACAGGGTTTGAAATGCCCATTCCAGCAATGTCAAATGCAGAGCCATGAATGGGCTCAAACATACTAGGATTCTTCCTACTAGGATCCAGATTCGATGTTGGAGCAATACCGATGGAGCCTGCGAGAGCAGCGGCAAGATCAGAAAGAATATCAGCGTGCTACACAATATCAGTCCAATGATTCCGAAAAATTTAGGCTATCCTGGCCATGGTAGTACTCACCAAGTTTGTTGCGACGATTGTATCCAGAGACTCTGGTTTTAACACCATCCTGCAGGTCATTGCATCTACAAGCATAAAGTCCATGTTCACATCTGGGAAATCTTTTGCAACTTCTTTCGCTACCTCATCCCAAAGAACCATACCATTACGTTGTGCATTACTCTTAGTTACCACCGTTAGCATCTTTCGTGGTCGTTTCTGCGCAGTTTCATATGCAAAACGAAGAATTCTATCAACAGCGTGTCTAGTGAATATTGCTACTTCAGTCGCAGTCTCCCATGCTTCACCACGATGCGAACGACCGCCCTGACCAGCGTATTCACCTTCACTGTTTTCACGAACGATAACCCAATCCAAGAGCTTGCAGTCTCGAAGTGGAGATTTGGTTCCACGGAAAACTTTAGTTGGCCTAACATTTGCATATTGTTGAAAAGGTTGACAGATGGCCAATCTGAGGCCCCAGAGTGAGATATGATCGGGAACGTCTGATAGTAGTTAGTACTAGTTTCTCAATTTTGACATCCTGTATCTTTTACCTGGAGCACCAACTGCACCAAAGAGAATGGCATCATACTTTCTTAACTCCTCAAGACCACCTTCGGGAATGTATTTTCCTGTCTCCTTATAGGTTTCCGAGCTCCAGTCAAAGTGTGTGAAATTGAGCTTGAATGTTCCCATTGTCGTTGCGAGATTATTGAGAGCTTGAATGCCTGCATCGATGACTTCAGGTCCGATTCCATCAGCTGGGATGGACGCGATGCTATATTCCTTTGCCGAATTGATAGTAGATGGAGACATTTTAGCTATACTGTAAGAACAATCGGCAACTCAAAATTTAATTGTGTTGTATTGAAAGATAAAATTGATCCTATTTGACTTGTATTGTATTCGTTGAGGAATGAATGACTTGATAAAAGACTTGACGTGGAGAAGAATCGATAGTAAGGAAGAAGATGATAGGGATGACATCAATAGCCGATCCTAGTCGTTTGCGGGGGTATCGGCGAAAGACAACTCCGGAACCCATGCTAATTGCAGGTGTGGTGCACGAAATCATCGGGGAAATGAAACTCCGTTGCACTCTTGACGTACGTACGATGTATGTACCCTCATGAAAGATACTGTTTCGTGACAACAACTGTTGTCGATTGAATAATCGAGCATTTCCTTTTGAGCCAAGCAAATCGCCTATAGGCATAAGCCGAAAGTCGTCAAAGGGCCGCTCTTGACTGCCCTAGCCGGTACAATGACAATTCCAAGCAATGTCATTCAGGAAATCCTGAGTTTTGTTGTCCCTCGAGTTCAAGCTCATCATGAGAAATGGCAGCATCAGCAAACAGAATTCAACCGCCCATTTCTTCTTGCCTTATCTGGCTTGCAAGGTAGTGGCAAGTCAACTTATGCCAGTCAGCTTGCATTAGCTTTGGAACACGAACACCAGTATAGGGTGATTGTATGTTCCCTCGACGACTTTTATCATGATCACGAGACTTTGGTCAAGATCAAAAATCAAAATCGGGATAACGGACTACTACAAGTACGAGGACAACCGGGCACACATGATGAAGAACTTGTGAGCCAGTTTTTTCAATCACTCACTACTGGTATCGTCAAGATTCCGGCATTTGATAAAAGCAGATTCCAGGGTGAAGGAGATCGGGTTCCAGAAGAAGATTGGAGAGTTTTCACTCCGAGTAAAGATAATGTACTGGATATTATTATCTTCGAAGGATGGTGTGTCGGATTCAAATCATTAGAAAGAGATGAGCTCGAGCGAAAATGGGAAAGTGCGCGGAAAGAACCTCAGACGGCGAGGTTGGGTGAAGATGCGACATTCCCAATAAACACAATTCAAAATCATCCCCTCAGTCATCTCAAGATGATCAATGATAATCTTCGTCGGTATAATACGACGTTTATGAATCCAGCAAACTTCGACGCTTTGATTCATCTCGATACGGAAGAGCTGGTCAATGTTTATAGGTGGAGAATAGAGCAGGAGCACAATATGTGGAAAGTAAAAGGTGCGGGTATGACTGATGCAAGTGTTGTGCAGTTTGTTCAGGGTTATATGCCTGCTTATGAATTGTATTTGCAGGAGTTGCAGAGAAAGCCATTTGTTCCACGAAAAAGTGAGATGGCCTCAAGTACACAGTTACGTCTTGTTTTACATAGAGATAGAAGTGTTCTGAAATATGAAGAATTCTGATTGATGTTATCTCTTCTCTATTACACTCAATTCTTACTTCTAGACAATTGTTGCATGGTAGTAGTATTATATATTGAAGTTGTATAATAGTATTACAATCCGTGCTACTTTCTTCTCCTTTCTTTTTCGTCTTCTCTATCAATCGAGTAAACGAAGGCGTCCTCATATCAATGTACAACTATAATGATTCTACATGATTATCCAGAGCTATAGTACGTCGGAGTGTTATAATCATCTCTCTCGTTCAGAAGACCAGAGTTGTATTTCATAGTACGTACTATCGATTTGATATCTTTACAGAGCTCGACTTCTTCTAAGATGAGACCTTGTTGAAACAAGTAAACTTGTGAATATTGGTGAAGTCTTCAGTATTTTCAATACAATTCCGTTGACGTGAATTTGAATCTATATACACGGAAATATTTGAAATCGAGGATATACTTAGGTATATTTAGTGAATCATTAGGATCTACTTCTCCGGTTTATACAAATTGGGCTTTCGCCCCCTGTCACTTTGAGAAGAACTACATATGGGCACAGACCACCCCCACCTATCTATGGCATATGTACCCCAGTTTTCATCGTGTACTTCGTAGGCAACAAGTCAGTTTATGGGACGGACGGCATAGCCAACAATTTCCCTATCTTCGCAGCTCTGATCTGCATTCGTGAGAAAAATGACTTGCTCAATCAGCGATGAATCAGAAAGAGGGGACACTTCCACAATCCGCCAGAGAACTTGTACCCGCTCTGCATGCTGTTCCCCCTCTTCACCAGAGAACAGATGCTGCGATAGTAGGTTCCTCCCGGCCCTGTAGCACTTCCAGCTAATTATCCCACTCATGCAGACAATTGCGTTATCAAAATCGCACGCCGGGATTGCAAAAATGAGCACAATCATCAAAACACGCTCCCCTCGAGCTCCCAATCTTCTCTCCCACTCCCGTCCGACGAAGAACCATGTCAGAGTCACCTTTCCAAAGCAAAGGCTGCATATAGTGAGATGTTGAATAATTTTGGATGTATTTGCAAGGTGTTGCTTTCCTTAAATTTGGAATCGTGCTGTGCTTTGGAGTCTGGGACTGCTCGGCGCAAGAGTTCGGAGAAGGAGAGATTGTTGATGGGAATGAGAAAAGCTCCTAGTGGGGGTAATTCTGTCAAGTCGGTTGGAGACACCTCGTGTGCTGAAGGATTGTACTGCTCTCCCTCGAAGAGCGAGTTGGTGAATGCGGTGACGAAAAGAAACGCCTGTTGCTCTACACCACCAGAGCAAACTGGAAGCGATATTGGAATGAATTCTGCTACAAAAGCTTTGCCGAATGATGTCAAAACTAGCCCTAAGCATAGCAAAGAGGGTTTGAACTGCTGCATTGATGAGACAAGTTTCGCTGATCAAGCTCCTGCTTCGGATTGTGGTAAAGGATGCTGTTCTGATCCGAGTGTGGGACCAGCCGTTACATCCAAATCTGTAGGCAGTTATGTCAAAGGCAGCTGTTCTAAATCAGCTGTAGATCCCATTATTGCCGCTGCACCTTTGGACGACTGTAAAAAGGGCTGCTGCTCAGAGATAACCTCGACTCCCTCAGACACCAAGCCGTCATTGGAGAAATGCTGTTTTACTGAGGTTCAGGCTGGGAATCACGCCACCCTGGAAGTGGAAGAAGCAGATGCTTGCAAAGTTGAATGCCAGGATCTGTCGGATCCGACTGGAAAACGCCTAGCCCCTAAAGAAGCTTGCTGTTCCAAAACCAAGTCTGGAGATAAAAAATGTTCGCAAGATGTTGAAATTTTACCCTGCACCTTCAACACTAGCGCCAATCAGGTAGACTTGGAAAAGGGCGTCCTTGAAGTCGAACATCTTATCATCAGTGTCCAAGGGATGACCTGTACTGGTTGCGAAAAATCACTTTTCAAAGCTCTGACTTCAATGCCAGCGGTTTCTAATATCAAAACCAGCCTTGTTTTGGGTCGAGCAGAATTTGACATTGGTGCAAGTGCGGCCGATATCAACATTGCTGAAACTATCAAGGCTCTTGAAAAAATGACTGGATTTACTTGCTCGAAGATGACATTATCTGGACACAAACTTGACCTCATTGTGGAAGACCCTGCAGTCTTTATAGGTGACAAAGACCTACCATATGGAATTTCAGGTATTGCTGTACAAGATTCTCGCACTATTCGAGTTACCTATCATCCAGAGGTTCTTGGCGCAAGAGATTTGATCGGCAATACATTCTTTGAATCAGCCAAGCTAGCCCCCATGGTAGACCCTCCTCTCATAACATCTGGTAGAGCACATCTTCGCTTGATGCTTTTCAAGACGCTGGTTTCTATAACACTGACTATTCCTGTGCTTATCATGGCATGGGCCGAGCTTCCTCCTCGAGAAATAGCTTATGGAGCTGCTTCACTAGTCCTCGCAACAGTTGTGCAGATTTACATTGCTGGTCCATGGTATTTCAGCGCTTTCAAGGCGCTGTTTTTCTCACACCTAGTTGAAGTAGACTTTCTTGTGGTTCTATCTACATCAATCGCGTACATATACTCCATCATTGCCTACGCTCTCCTGGCCTGTGAAAAGCCTCTTTCAACTGGGAGCTTCTTCGAAACCAGTACGCTATTGGTAACATTGATCATGGTGGGACGCCTCGTGACTAGTTTGGCAAGACAGCGAGCTGTGGAGTCGATTTCTATTGAATCACTTCAACCCTCAACTGCAATTCTCGTAGATTCAAAATCAGACTCTCGGAATGAGATTGATGCGCGACTCTTGCAATACGGAGATATATTTGTCGTGTCGCCTGTATGTATATATGCAAATGGTGGTTCTATAATATTTATAATTTGTTGATCTAGGATTCGTCAATCGTCACAGATGGGACTGTCATCTCTGGTATATCGGATGTCGATGAGTCTATGATCACGGGCGAGGCTACTTCAGTGGCCAAAAAGCCAGGCTCCCCGGTTGTTGCCGGATCTATAAATCACTCTGGTACCTTAAAAATTCGCCTAACTCGTCTTATGGGAAACAATACAATCAAATCGATTGGTTTAATGGTAGACGAGGCAAAATCTTCCAAAGCCAGGTTCCAAGACGTGGCAGATAGAGTAGCGGCATATTTTGTCCCAATCATTCTTGTTGTCACTGTCATTGTATTTGTTGTGAGGGTGGGAGTCGGTATAGGAATTCAAAATTATTCAACGACAACTGCATGCATCAACGCCATGACTTACGCCATTTCTGCACTCATTATGTCATGCCCATGCGCTATCGGCCTAGCTGTTCCTATGGTTCTGGTCATTGCTGGCGGAGTGGCTGCCAAAAGCGGCGTGGTCTTCAAGTCAGCAGAAACCATTGAGAAAGCGAGGAATATCTCCCATGTCGTGTTCGACAAGACGGGTACCCTCACGCAGGGGCTACTCACGGTGGAGAGAGAGTTATATCCAATTGGCGAAGGAACCACACTCGGGCCAATGATTCTTGGTTTGACAAGTAGTAGCAAGCACCCTGTGTCGTTAGCCATAGCAACTCATCTGAAGTCAACTGTCACCAAAGCAGATGAACTGAACAAAGTCACGTCGATTGTGGGCTGTGGTATTGAAGCTACCTGGGGAGAAGAGAAGATACGTGGAGGAAATCCATACTGGCTGGGAGTTGAAAACCTACCAGCGGTCACGAGTATCTTCTCCCTTGGAGTCTCTATCTTTTGCATCACTGTCAACGGAAATCTTGTTGCAGTGTATGGTCTTAAAGATAGTCTTCGACCAGATACCACGGCTGTTATTAACGAGTTGAAGCGACGGAACATCGAGATTTCTATTATTAGTGGTGACAATGAAGAGTCTGTCAAGTCTGTTTCTCGAACTCTCGACTTGCCTGAAAGTCATGTGCGCTTTAAATGTAGTCCAGCCGATAAGCAGACATACATCGAGGAGATATCCACTGCAAAAAATGTTGTCATGTTTTGCGGTGATGGAACGAATGATGCTGTGGCACTCGCTCAAGCATCTATTGGTATGCATATCAATGGAGGCACAGACATTGCTCAAAGTGCAGCCGATGCCGTTCTCATCCGACCAGCTCTGAGTGGAGTCATCGTCCTTATCGACCTTTCGAAGACCTTTTATCGACGAGTTATCTTCAACTTTACTTGGTCGTTCATCTACAATACCTTTGCGATTCTGTTAGCCGCAGGAGCATTTCCGAATGCAAGAATTCCACCTCAGTATGCTGGCTTGGGTGAGATTGTAAGCGTTTTGCCAGTCATTGCTATTGGGGTGCAATTGAGGTGGGCTAATTTTACCAGTTTCAAGGTCTGAGTTGGCTTGTAATTGGTGGTAATGGGTAGGACTTCACTTCAACGCTGCATTCGTTCACTGGCCTAGTAAACTGCCATGAAGCTCTTCCAATTTGGGCTTTCAGCAAAATCCATAATATGGACACTTGAAATAAAACTGTCTAGTATCTTCCTCTCTCGATCATTATTATTCTCCACTTTCCTCTTATTCTCTGCCCTAATCCTTGTTGTAGTTATTCTCGGACCAATCTCTACAGTAGTTTTTCTTTTGAAATGTAATTATGTATATTATTATCTTGGGTGACTGGTTATTTGTATTGAAGGAATAGCGCCTTAAACTATATGAATCACATGAAAGAGAAGAAGAGCTCGCCAATCCGTATCCACGAGCTCCGGTATGGACACAGTAAAATCACTTCCTCGTATCCACCCATTCTTCAACCCATTTATGCATCCATTCCGCTTTAACAGCATCTAGCTTTCGCATGGCAGGGCTTGCTTCGAGAGCCTTCTCCACCACCATAGGCTGGATTGGCACTTTCTCAGTATTCGAGTGTATCGCCCACAAGTCTCAAAGAAATAAAGCAACAAAACAGCCGGATCCGCCGCCACATCCTCATATCTGCCTCGCTGCTTGCTCGCAAACTAGCCAGCCATGTCGCAGGCGACACTATTTGAAGCGGCTGTAGTGCCACTATAGCATACAACAACGTGCTCCAAGGCACCAGCTGCGGATTCCGTAGATTGAACACCGTTGCAGCGTTATCGGATGTTCGTGTCGTTGCAGCCGTAGCTAGGTCGACTAGTATACGAACCGTATAAACAGCTTTATTGGTAGTAAGGACTAACGCCGAGTAGCGTACATCATCCGCACCAACATATGCCAAAACCTCAGCGTGAGCGCCATAGCTACCAGAGCTATCAAGCTGTTCCATTAGCAACCAAGCCAGATCATTAACGATATTGACCAGCTATGCATAGGTAATGGTGATTACACTAAAACTGATCACCCATTCGCCATAGTTGGCATCTAGCCTATCCCGATTCCCGAGCTAATCGGTCGACGACATGAGGCAACAAAGCATCTTGCCATTGCGCAACGCTCTCATGGTTGGATGCCATCACGTAAAAGTGGCTTCGAATCTTACTACAATGTCTTGATTTATCGTACCTTTCAAGAAGTGAAAGGTGTGGACTGCGTTGATTTTATATTGCATGTCACTATGGATTTGTTTTGATTGGAAAGCAGCACGTACATACATTGCTATAAGAATCGCTGGTTTAGGATTCATATGCATGTTACCTACTGTTTCAACGCACGTATTACTGCATCACCTCCACTTGACCAACATACAAGGTTGATGCTTAGCTGCGGCGCAGTTTCCTAAAACTAGCCCGTGATTATCTTACCTTGTGCATGTGTCTGCAAAAGTGGCTTCCACTCAAGTGAGAATGATTAATATTCGAAGTGCATAGGGTAAGAGAACACTAATCAAGGAGAATAAATATGCCCAAATCAGATCACCTTTCCGCAATATCTGCAATCAGATATGTTTTTTTACCACAAGATGCCATGCTTAGCGAGGATAATCGCTGTGTTTCTTACGCTACCTTTTGGAATCACATCTCTAAGTACGCTGATGATTACTCATCACGAGCAAGTATGCTGATACCTTCCAAGTGATGCCGCATGGCCTTTTCCAAGAGTTTGGCAGAACTGGAACCATACCATTGTAGGCAGACTTATCCGCGGCGTTCCTCTAGGCCAACCTTGTTACGGTTCCCAATTGAATATCTTGGAGTACTCGAAAATCTAAGAAGATTGAACACCACTATCACCATAGTAAGTGGAAAAATTCCCGAAAAGTAATTGTTATGTACACTAATACTCATTAAGCGAAGCCGATTCGGTTAATATCATGTCTCCCTATTGAATGAACAACTCCTGTGGTCCATTCTTCGGACCTCAGGGCTCTTGTACTTTAGGAAACCTTGCATTATATACTCTTGATATCAGTATTATTGAAAATATCATTGCGAGTATCTGGTTTGTATAGAGCAATAATATGCAACTCATTATCAAGAATACAGGACATGATTACCTAGGAAAATTGGCAGGAGCAGGCTCGCTAGGCTCATAGATGCGTGATCTTGATGAGATTGACTTCATTAATTATAATAGTTTCTTTTGCACTGGGCCTGCAGTTCATATCGGTGCTGGAGTTGGCTATACTGATTTATATCAAGTGACCAGCGTAAAAGGTTATCGCGTCGTCGGTGGTTCATGTTCAAAAGTGGGAATAACAGACTGAGCTTCAACAGATCTTATGCGATCTTTCAAAGGACCACAGTGCAGCTGCCATCGTTGCCCGTCGGATCAGTACTATCAACTTATTGATAGCACTTTCCCATCGCCGAGAAGTACAAAACCGAAAGCCTCGTAAAGGAACACCCTCAACTTATGTCCTATCCCCTAGACTGCCAACTTAGGACACATTAAGTAATCCGTACACTCTCACAATCATTAATAAAAAAATAAGTAATATTATAAATAAAAGCCTTTCAAATAAGATTAAAGATTGAAATTTATTGAAAAAGCAATAATAAATATTATAAATACACTTCACTGTTTTTTAATTGAGAATAATAATATTCGAAGATTTTAAATGTATTATGATATTTCATCTCTTAGAGTAAGAAAAATTCATGTGATAATTCTCAATTCCTGATGTTCTGATTGGTCAAAGATCCCTGTTTGAGCGAGGTCTCTGTTGTGAGTTTAGAGGATATGTCGCTCTAAGTCTTGAACTACTTTCTCTTATTTGAGAGAAAACCCAAGTTATAATTTTTATCGGGGATGACTATATATCTTACAGAGATCGAACCCTAAGATCTTATCGTCCATTAAAGATGATGGACCATTTCGAAAAGGATGTAAAAGGAGTGCCGAAGAATGACTAGATAAGTTGTAACCATCCAGTCTGTCAATCAAATGGTCTGGTTCTGGAAAACTTGACGCATTTCAAGAAGAATGGGCAGAAGACCCATGGAATTCGTCTTCGATTTTGACGTCTCATAGATTGTGTCATTTCGTATTTTAAAAGGCAAGCATATAATTGTAAGATGGTCGATATGAATAGGCGAAGAGCTCTCAATCAGCACCCTCATTCTCATGCGCACTGTTTTGAGTGTGAGAAATGTGATCGCTCATTTAAATTTCAACGGGCTCTCAATCAGCATCCTACATCCCCCCGTTCTCGATTTCTGAACAAATCACACATCTATTCCTTCCTAGGCACTCATAACATAGCATTAACATTTGATGAAAGCTTGCTAGTACAACTTTTAAGACTGTGGCAAAATCTTAGAGATGCATTGGCCCACTCTAAGATCAGTCTGATTGCAATAATAGACTGGCTCTGTATTGAGCATACATATATTCCAAATGATCCATAATCTTACGCTGATTCACACTAGCTTTTGGTCTCCGTTACAGACGTAGTGAGACAAGTTTCTAGCTTGTAAAAGGCTGTGTATTTATAGTAGAATAATAGTTATGTAACCGTTTCATATTGAAAACGAAGAGATAGATTTTGAAAAGCTAATCAATCAGCTTCTGTCACAAATTTGTCAACCCATTGCTTACGCCGAGCGGACACTTTTTCCGAAAAAGCATCACGAGCTATCTCACGATCATGGCGTCTGCCTCCTGCGATGTGCTCCCAAGACTCGAAGATATGGACGCATTTCCTCCCTTGCTCAGCAACAATTTCACTTTCAGTATTCTGACTAACTTTTTCGAGTCGATCTTTCCAGAATTCCCATCGTCGCATGTTGAACCCCGACTGCTGCCGTTCTCCACTAGCTTCTATTAGCTGTCCAGCTTCGGCCCACTCTCTATTGTCACTGGCGTAATCATCTTTGAAGGAAAATTCATTTCGAGCGCAAAGGCTTAGAATCTTGTAGCTGCCATACCAGAGCCAAGCTAAGACTGCGGGTAAAAACTCGGATAGCGGGATTTCATTGGCATGATCTGCTATCAAGACTGCATCGCTTTCAAGTAGCTGTCGTGGTGTCTCCAGAGCCTCTCGAAATAGCATGAGTGCACACGACATCAATTCAGAATCACAGACACCGAGAGCTGCGAGTAGGGCGGTAAAACCAGCGAGATTCTCGAGCTCAACCATGGTCATTTTCATCATCGATGTGGCCCACACATCTCGTAGATCCGTCACCAAGAAGGGGAGATCGATCCATATCCGAGCTGAGGTGCTGGTGATTGCAGATTCGACTTGAACGTTCTGCTGCTTTCCGGACTGATTTTGGTTGCTCTCTCCTGCTGGCGGCACAACTATTCGAGATATTTCTCCCAATTCACGCGCGTATATGACTTGATTGACAAGTCGGTCAGTTTCCGCTTCATTGGCGGGCGTAATTTTGGCTGTCTCGATGAAAAGGTACCATAGATCGTGAAGGTCAATTTCGAAAACATCAATGAGATGGACTGTATTTATTGAATTTACGTAGCGTTGATTAATGCTGCGAATGAACATGCGAGCTCGATTCCAGAGCTTAGGATCATTCTTACGGACAGATTCATCAACAGAGGAGCGAATTCGTTTGGTGCTAAAGGCTGCTCTTCGCTCGACAGTGATGCTGGTAAGCCCATCAGCCAGTTCATTTTCTGCTCTCTCTTTCTTTCTTACCTTTTTTGCAGCTACCTCTAATTATCATGCGAACCGCACTGGTGTGGTTATATTCGAAATGGTGAGTTAAGTTTGAAATGGTGATAAACAAGGCGAAAAGAAGGAATAGCAAGTGTCAAATAGCAGATGATAAGAGAAGTAAAATAGAGAGAGCGGAATCATATATCTTTCTATCACAGTGCAAGAGATAGGTACTAGATAAGATGTATAATATTCTACAAAAAATGAAGAAAGAGATGGAAAAATATCGATTATATAGAGAATGAATGTCTTAGGTATTTATATAATTATGTATTGAACCTATAATAGTACTCTCCCTTAAAAGTTTGTTTATACTAAGTAAACTAAATTTATTATATAACTTATTATTATATATAAATTAAATAAATAATCGAATTCATTGAATTAATAGTTTAAATATTTTATATTAATTTAACTTTTTTTTTGTAAATTGATCTTCAAGCTTCTTATTTCTTTTTTGAATATTCTAATATAGATAACAAGATTACCTTAGCTTTAGGATTATTTAATATCTATCTTAATAAACTAAACTTTTCAGAATATATATAATAATACTTTGCTAACAGTTTTTCATTCTTTTTCAAGTTTATTATTAATTACTAAATAAGAATATAATATTTCTATTTAATTAAATAATAATGATCATTTTTATTATAATTATCTATAACTTTTTTAAAGATTTATTTTTATACTAACTTACTCTCATTATTATTTTTTTCAAGAATTCTATCTTTAATAATAATTAATTCTGATTTGTTAATTATAATTTATATTAGAAAACATATTCTATTAATTATAAGAGTGAATAATAAATAATAAAAAATATTGTTTAATAATTAAACAAAATAAAAATGAAAATAAATTTTTATAATCTTATATGACTCTATCTATCGATTATTTAATTTCTTTGTTTTCCAAAAGGGTTTTATATTCTTAACATTTATAAATATCTTTTGATCTATATAATAATATAATAAGTTAATATAATATCAATTTGTATTTTCTTTATATATCATAACTATTTATTTAATAAAAGCTTATAATTATAATAGGATTCTTTTTATTTTATCCACCATCTCATTACCCTTGAAAAACTTTTATTTCTATACTATAATTATATTTCATAAATAAGATTTACTAGACTTTATATTAATATATAAATTAAATTTATAATTAATGAAGAATAATAAATAATTAATAATTTTCAAAGTTATATTATTCAATATGAATTTTATAAAAGGTAATTATTATAGTCAATCGTTTTAATAAAAATTTACGAATACTTGTAAATATTGTTCAAGAATAAAATTTATTCGTTTTATTTATTTATCTATTTATGAATAAAATATTAAAAAATACTAGAAAATTATAACTAATTGTTTAATTAATTAAAAATAAAAATAAAATACAAACTATATAACGTAACGTATGGGGAACTCGGACATATGGGGAACTCGGACACTTTTAGCCCATCACCAACTTGAAACCGCAATAACTTTTATTATGCATACCCAATCACCTTCTACATCTGCTCAAATTGAAGAGAAGCTTCAAAAGGCTATAATTTCACTTCAATTGAAAGAATTTAAATCAATTAGAAAGGCTGCAGAGCATTTTGAAGTCCCTAAGTCTACCCTAGCTGATAGGCTGGCTGGGAAGAAAACACGTTCCCAAACCCACGAAATGGCTCAAATTCTTTCAAACGCAGAAGAAAATACTCTTGTACGATGGATTTCACGACTTACCATCACTGGATTCCCTGCTACACCTATGTTGGTGAAGGAAATGGCCGACGAAATTCGTCTTCGACGCGTTCGGGTCGCGTCATCTCGAAATCCTACCTCGACAGAAATTCCACCTATAGGCCACGAATGGATCTATAGATTCCAAAAACGACATCCAGAACTTAAAACATGCTATTCACGTCAATTAGAGTCTAATCGGGCTAAAGAAGCAACTCCGGAGAATATTCAGGCTTGGTTTGACGCGTTTCGCACGCGTCTCATTGAGCGAAAGTATGAATTAGATGATATGTATAATATGGATGAAACCGGATTTGGAGTTGGAAGTACTCAAAGTACGCGCATTATAGTCGATTCTACTCAGAAATCGAATTGGAAAGTTACAGCTGGCAAGCAAGAATGGATAACTGCATTTGAATGTGTCAATGCAGCTGGAAATGCTCTATCACCTATGGTCATTTTCAAGGCTCAGAATACGAATTCTGCATGGATTCCAAAGGACACACCTCAAAGCTGGCAGTTCTCTACTAGTACAAATGGATGGACCTCAAATAGCCATGGATTAGAATGGTTAAAAAGGGTTTTCGAACCAGAATCCAAGAAAGTGTCAGGTGACCGACCTCGACTTTTGATCATGGATGGCCATTCAAGCCATATTACAGGTAGCTTTATTGCTTTCTGTATAGATAATGATATTGATTTACTTATATTACCTCCTCATTGCTCTCACTTGCTTCAGCCACTTGATATTGCGGTGTATGGGCCAATGAAACGATATCATGCTTTAGAGGTCGATCGATATTCTCGAGCTGGTGTAAAGCGAATCCAAAGAGCTGAATGGGTAGAACTCTTTCAAAATATTAGAAAAAAAGCATTGAATTCTTCTAATATTAAAGCTGGCTGGAGAGGAGCTGGTTTAGTACCTTTTGCCCCACGAAAAGTACTCGATTCATTACCATTTAACTCCTCCCAGCAACCTTCTACTCCACAAATGAGAACCCCCAATCAAGACCTAGACTTGTCTATACTCAGGAGTTCTCCTCCAGATGGAACAGAACTAAGGCAAGCAAATCAGATCTTTAATACAGCTCTAGCAAGCAGTGGTTCTCCTGCATCGCCAACTCGTCGATATGCCAAGAGAATGACTAGGCTTGTAGAATCTCAAAATGCTGAGATAGCCCTACTTCGGAAACAGCTCTCTGATGCTCAGGAGGTAATTGAGACTCGAAAGAAAAGAACTAAAGGCAAAAGAGTCAAATTACAAGGTCAATTTGTCTTTAGTACTAAGGAAGTATTGAAAATGGTACGTGAGGCGGAGGAAAAACCGAAGGAGAAAAAGCCACGAGGACGGCCACGCAAACGCCCAATTGAAGAATCAGAAGAAGAGATTGAAGAAGAAGAGCTAGAGAATAGTTCAAGTGATTCGGAATTGGAATTGGAGGATTGTGTGGCTCGTAGAACAAGATCGCGTGTAGAATAATTGAAAAAGTGTCCGAGTTCCCCATATGTCCGAGTTCCCCATACGTTACGTTAATATTTTTCGCTATTTTTTTGTTTCAAAAAGCAAACTTTAAAACTAGATTTTTTTTTAGAATTATTAACTTATAATATTTTCTTTATACAAATTAAGCATTTTCTTTTAAGATTTTTTATTATTCTTTTTCAAATTATAAATTTTTTATAAAATAAAACAATAAAAAATAATTAATAAATTTTTTAATAATCAAATATTAGAGTTAAATTCAATTTTAATTGTATTTAAAGGGAATAAAATAAGAATTCAAAAGTTGAAAATATAATCATTTTTAATATAAAATCGCTTAGTGTGTGGTGAGTAATAGCTCAAACTCTTACATCGTAGCTTTGAGGAGGGGGATATCAGATTCAAATTCACGTGATTTTGCAAAAAAAATTACATTCCCACCACGACTCAATCCTCAGACAAGAAATAACATTCACAGACGGATTCGACGCAAAGTTGACACTGCTCTACAATTTATGGCGCAACTACTTACGAGAGGGAATCAAGTATTTATGCCTCCAGAATAATCTCTTTGGAGCAACTTCAATCAGCTTCAAGCAACCTGAATACGGGATTTGAGAAGCTTTCCAGCTGGTGATAGAGATGAAATTGAGTTCGAACAAAGCAATGTACATCTATATCTATGATATCCGGATACTCCTCCTGGAAGCTGGAATTTGATTCCGTTACTACAAGGCCAATTATCGCATACTAGCCGACAATTTAGAATCAGACATCGCGGCCGACAAAGGGCGGGAACTGGACGAACATATCACGTGGATCGGCTGCCACTTGGTTAAGTAACCATCACGTCAATATTCACTTGTTGTTTGCTCAACATTCTTTTCATTCAATAATCAAAGCCAGGGTGTCAATAGCTCAGAGCGAGCTGGGCGTAAAATATCAATCTTTTAATTATGGTCACGTGCTTTTTGTGAGATGACTACTTTCATCCATCTAGTTCGTGGAGAAGGGGATCGTCAGCGAGGCAGAGGATTTCTGACAGTAAATGATGCATACGGAAACCAAATTATACTCTATTACACTATACAATCATTGGATTATTCCCAGACCTTGGGATATGCTGGACTCGCTTGCATGGTTGTGTCAATGCCTCTTTCTTCAAGAATTGCTTGGATCCTACCCATTGGATCATTAGATCACCAATGAGCTCACCTTACTATGCTCAAACTTGTTGCAGATTGTCGAAAGTGCTATGATGATGTTGCTTTATTGTCTCACGCTGTATGACAAGTTTTCACATTGAAGATAAGTCAAGGCTGAAAAGATGTGGAAGAATTTTAATGATTTTTTTGGTGTACTGTTGCAGAGAATCTGATGGTTTTCTCTGCAAGTTACAGTTCATTTGGAGGACTAAAAGCTAATCGAAGAAACAAATAAAGAAAGCAAAAAGGCATGTGTTGCCATGTGCTTGTAAGTGAACGACCCATCAAAAATATCTTCCTTCAGACTTGTTACAAAATGGTTTTGATTGAAGTCAATTTCTGCACAAAGACCCGTCGAGGTTATATTCTGTCATCATCATTCCACCACCATAAATTTCCTGCCCTCAAAACTCCCCGAGCCAACACCAGCCCGATCCCACCCACAGCCATCCACCAACAGCCATCCACCAGCAGCCATCCACCGAAAACAGAATCTATTTTTGTTGAATTTTGTTCGGCTTGGGTTGAGTTGAAACCGATTGGGTAGAAACCGATTGAGTTGACTCGGATTTGGTCACCTTCGGTAGGTTCAAGTATTCTCTCTTGTAGACTCCAGCCAATCTGCGGCCGAATTCCGAACCATCGGTGACTTTGACATAATCACACTCGTATCCTTGGACCTCATAGGCCAACTTCCAATACTTGCGCTTTAAACCCCACAAGCCAGCCGCCAATTTCATTTGTGGGAAATTGTATGTATCAAGGAAGACGTTGACGTCGAGGTTGGCCCACTTGAATTTATTGATGATGTTGTAGAATCCCTTCATCATCTCCAGTCGATCCGCGACCTTTTCACGGGATTCGAAGTGGGGGGGAGGCGTATGGATCTCAATGGCGATCTTCTTGACGTGTGCCTCGTAGTTTGGTAGGACTGTAAGGAGTGCCGGCATATTTGTGTCCTTGGTGATGCGAACCCCAATCTCGCTGTCGCCAAGGATTACGATGGCAGGGTGAGCAGGTAATGTGCTCATGTCGAAGGGTGCAGCAGCAAGTGCCTGAGCGGCATCAGTTGCGATCTGTTGCTTACGAGCAAGCTCTGCGAACATGGCAGTGGATGGGCGTGCTTGAGCAGCGCTGCCGCGGGCGTTTTTGTTTCCCATTTTGATGATGAGAAAAACCGAAATGTTGAGTTCAGTGTGGTATGTTGTAAAAGTTTGATTGAGTGTTGATGTTGAATGATTTCGTGTCTTTGTGTATCAAAGCTAAATAGAGTGGTAGTCTATCAGAAGAAGATGTTGTAAGTAAGAAGGGATTTTGGGGGTAGAAATCCAGTTGCTTAAGTACTGAAGTTTCCTCCGTACGGTCAGACACTAGTGCCTAGTGGCTGTATGTAGCTGTATTGTAGCACATCTAGCGAAACGAAGTGAATGCAATTGATTAGTGGTCTAGAAAAGGAGGTACGACCAGAAGATCGGACATTAGATCTGATCGAATATACCTGGAGGCGAATTCACTCTGTGCAAAAGAATATGGGTACATCATAAATTTCGATGAGATCTGGTAATTCACTTAGCAGCAATCTAGTATCCATATGCTCTTTACATCTTTACGCAATTGCATGAGTGATGGTAGTCATTTCATCTACCTTGCTAAAGCAGGTCACAATGCAACATTGTCCAATGTTAGTAGAAGATATACCCTTTCTCAGTGATATCTTTATATATATATTTACGTTTATTCAGGTAGTTACTTGAGCTCGCAACCCTAGTTTTCTTTGTTTTAGTCTTTTTTGTGCATGTTTGTTAGTAGTTTGCTTTGGTAGAAATGCTTGTTGACTTAAAGATTTTCTTAAGCCATGAAGAGCAGTTTGTTGAACTTAGAGATAGATTATGGGCTGTAGTTGATGTAGCTCATTTGGATGATAAGCTACTTACTTTGGGATACTTCAGCACTTGTACACTAAATTAAGCGGTCACATCGATCATATTGGGGTAGGCACTCAACATTCAAACCATGTAACTGAGCAATTAAATAAAAACGCATGCAATGTGGCAGTGAAATGATACATTCTCGGTACATGATAAAGACACAATGGTTTTTGTGATATAGATTCATGAGTAGTTTGGGACTAAAGCAACCATACCGCACCATGATATAATCGCTATACAAGTCGGGGACAAATAGGATTGTGCTATGTGGGAATTCCAGAAAGCAATCACAATATCATGGTGGTTCTACATACATGATGGACTTCAAAATTCACTCCTCACAGGTAGATCAGGTATTGTGGTTACATTTAGAATAGGCTTATTCATTATATCTTGCTTAGCTACAGAAAATTGATTACTGTTGACCCTTATGGCTCTGTGTGAAAGAACAGGCAGTATAAATCCAGTCTCCAGATGCGCAGCAAACAATCATAAGAAAAAGAACCCTGCAAAAAGCACATCGCAACTACCCCTTTATCATACCACAAGCATCTCTAAACTATGGTCATTTCTCCTCACTACCTGCCGCAATTGCTGACTCCGAATAACTGCCCCCCCGTCATAATTATACAACCAAGCTTCTACTCAAGCTTGGGTCAGGAACTCCTTCTTCCAGACTCCTCGAAGTCTGGAGTCATATTCGCTACCGCGGAATATCTTGATTGGATCTCCCTCGGACTTCGTAGCCTCGTCATAAACCTGATAGTATAGCTGCCACTTCTCTGTATTTGTGTTAGAAACATCCTATTAATATTTGCTTGGGAAAACTTACTAAACTTCAATCCGTGGATTGCAGCTGCTAACTTCATCTGAGGGAAGTTACATCCATCAATAGACATTGTAACCTTGAGCTTATACAACTCAAATGTGTCGATGATGGCGAACAGCTTCTTTGTGCAGCTAAGACGACTGTTGTGCCATTCTTTAGGCTCTGTATGGGGCCAGGGTGCATGGACCTTAATCGCCAACTTCTTGATCGACTTGTATTCTGGCAAGATGGCTAGAAGAGCCAAAATATCAGTTGGTTTACTCTCTGCAAAGGCACACCACTCAATGAAAATTGAGATCTCCTTGTTGTCGATAATTGTGATGGAGGGGTGTTGTGTCAATGTATTTAAGTCGACAAGTGGCTTTGGCTTGTACTTGTGCTTGGGTGCAGTGATGCCCATGGAGCCATTAGTCTTGTTCATCTGAAAAAAGGCTGCCGCAGAAGGGCGCATGGCCAGAGTAGGCGTAGATATAGTCGCACTCGAAGACTTGACAGCCTCCTCCTTCTGGAGAGGTGCAGTGTTTAGTTGACTCATGACTGGAGCTGAGTTACCGCCAGTGTTCTTGATCTGCATGGTGAATTGTAAAATTTGTAGATAGTTGGTTGTAAAGATGAATTCAATAAGATTTGAAATGAATGAAGTGGAGAATCGAAGATCAAGTCTAAAGAGAATATTTTATTTTGTTGTCTGATGGACTCGACTTTATGTTGGTTAAAGTATGATGTTGTAATGAAGAAGGAATCATTTCTCCAGAACAGAAGAACCCTTAAGTAGCCATTCTCCAAAACAGTCGACTACGACTAGTGTCTAGTGCCATCTGTACATACAGTATTACGGCCAAAATATGATGGTATATAGCAGAGTTTCCCACTATCACTCAAGGGATTGGATGTTGTATGGTGAATGATTAATTCGCTTAATTAAATATTGTTTACAGTACGGCAGAGGGTTTCTAGTGAATTATACTAGACAATTCTATAAGCGAGCCGATATTTACTCAGTACTTTCACTCAAGGAATTGAATGTGTTATAATTAATAGTGAGTTCGCTTAATCAAAAATGATTTGCAGCGAGTTTTGAGAGAAGCTCACCGTGTCTACTCAGTACCATAGTTCATCACCCTTGAGATTATACAATTCAGAGACGAAGACCAAGAGAGGGATCAATTCGTGGCTAGAATAGATTAGACAATCTAGACTTGGAGACTAATTTACAACTGTCCGGTCTCATAGAGCGTTCTACTTGCAGAGATAATGTAGATTATTTCAGAGATTTCATGGTTATAGTAAGTAAGGTATATCACGGTAATATTGAGGGTTGAAACTGATATATATTAAAGAGAAATGAAATATTATTGAAGGGTTCTAGCTAGTGTCCGATGTCTGAAGCCGAGCTAGCAATCTTATCCAAGGGTATGCAGAGCTCACGCGTACTAACTAATATCACCTGAGTAGAATTATGCTTATCTATGCGTCTCACGGCAGTGAAGCTCCAGATCCCTTGAAAATCATTCAACACAGACATGATACTCTGAATAGCCTCTCTGCGTTGATAACCCTCGTCAGTGTCTATATCTGAAAGCTCGTCGTGGAATCTGATATGAATAAAGCGTGTGAAGTTGTCATACTCTGGGAGAACTTCCATGAGAGTTGGAACGTGTGTAGACTCCTGACCAGTTTCGGGATGGAAATCGACATCAATCATCAGAAATTGGCCGAAGAGCTTGACTGCTGGGTGGGGATGGAGTGTTACTCGATCTTTGCTAGTCTGATTTCTTCTGATCAGCTTTCCCTTAGTCTTGCTGATTTGGTTGCTAATTTTCTGCTGAGATTCTGCTGTTTTCTGAAGTGGGTCGATAGATTCGATGTCTTCTCTAGTAGAGCCAATCTGGAAAGACCAACTCATTTTGAACATCGACCAATCCTTGTAGAAAGACATAATGTAGAATTGAATTGTAACTACTAACTGCACTTATAGTTGGTGATACTTGATACTGCGGAGTAGTGCTGTTTGATGATCAGAAAGGTCATGGTGATCATGAAGGTATTTGTACCATGAGTTTCTCTGGACAATACAATTGTTCAAAAGTATTACTCCCTTGTTACTTTTGGCCTTTGTTGACTGCTCAAGGAATAACGGATTGTTTAGACTATGTTCAATGCTTCTTCTATCTCATCCTAACTCTTCTTTTGTTATCGTGAAGCATTCTTTGTCAATTTACAAGTCTTTGTGAGGAACAAAACGGATAGATTCACTCATAGGAGTATTTTTGCCTTTATCGGAGAGATTGGCTTGCAAACTCTTGAGCCTTCATTATCTAGGTTTCCGTTGGTGAGAGACTCTAAGCAACCCTTGTTGGACTACGGTGGCTTTTGAACGATTACTTGTCTGGGAGAACCCGAAGAGCTGCGTAGAAAGTATTGAAGTTCACCGTCAAATAATTCATAATTTAATAACCATAAATTATCAGTGGTGATCCCGCAATCTAAGAATAAAGGAGAGTTATTAATAAGTGTGCTAATACAATGCTACATGATATGTGCTATATGCTAAGTATAAACAAACTTGCGCCAAAGAAGACACGAGACCTTCGCAATCTTCATGATAAATTGTTGAGAATTTTCCTCAATCCGTGAGAAGTTATCAATTTACCCCGCCATCCCACCGACTCTAGGAAACCAAAGCCGATGCCCAAAAGGAGATGAGCCGAGGCAAGCGACGTCTTGCTTCCAGTTCGATGGCAACCCCCATCCCTCCCCTAAATACTCAGATCCTTTCAACTAGATCCCCCTCATCATAACCATCTATAATTTACAATCTCTATGGTAGACACCGCGAAGGCGTCGCATGAGGTAGCCTTGAGTGTCGATTCTGAAAAGAACAGGTCTGTCTTCAACGTAATAGCTCAAAAACCAGTGCGTCTTGAAAGCTAAGAAGCAAGCTGCTAATTTAATTTGCTGGAAGTTAGAAAAATCTATTTCAAGTCGAACATTAATATGGCTCAGAGTGATGAAGGTGTTGTTGATTTTGTCGACTAAAGCCATCATCTCAGAAACATGCTGAATGTAGATGCTAGAGCTTTCCCAGTGGCGAATAATTCGTGGGTGAATAAGAAGATCGATTTTAGCCGCCCATGGACCGTATTCAACTACACGGTCAATCAAGATAGCCATATAAGCAGCAGTCTCTTCCTGTGTGTTGTCTTCGTTGTATGCGATGGTTATTTGTAGGGATTGTGTACCTTCTAACCAATATAGCGAATCGTGTCCTTCGAAGAATGAAGGCGGCTTGGGAAGGATTGGAGGAAGATTAGCCTTCTTAACTTGGGTATTCTTGTTGGCCATGACTTCTGAGAAGATCTCTAGCATCGTGAGACTAAGTGATATCTATTTCACAAGGGATCTGACTTGCCGGTAGGTCCACTCGAGTCAAATATTATCTCCGTGAATGTTCTTGAGACTTAAGTTCAGATCAAAGATCTAACAGATGTCAAAGATTGGTTTCAGTTGAAGGATGTACACAATTGAGGATTTGGAGTAGTGTTAGGTAGCATAAACAAAGTAGGAGAAAGTAGGATTTCACAAGCACGGAAGAAGAACTTTTATAGTCGCCAGAAAAAACTATATTAAATGAGTGAAGATAGATCAAGAGTTTATTGAACTATAGCAACAAATTGCTGCCGTAGCCGTTGAACTATTTGTTATCGAGCCACAGAATTTCCACTGTTACCTACCCTAACGAAAGAAACCCAATTACAAGTAACTCCATCAGGAAAACGATTGCGGAAACTCCAAATTCTAGAAATTTCGATAGATTACTCAGAATTGGCTGAATCCAATGAAACAATTAACCTCCCGCAGACAACAGATTCAACCAATGGAACTGTTGATCGTAAAGGCCATTGAAAGATATTCGGGACCCTCATAAAGAGGCATATAAAGATGAGACAAGATCATAAATCCAACAAAGTCTCGATGATGCTTATTTGATGAATTGTAGACATGTGATGGACCGAAGCTCTGAACTACTTAATCAATGTACCTTTGAAAGATATCTTCTGATCTGAAATAGAGTCAAACTTTATAATACGCTGCCGCCTTCAATAGTAATGATTTTAAAAGTAAGTATGCCATTAGAAATAAAAATTCCGAATTCATCAATTCGGCAACATCACTGAGTACCACAATGCACTATGTCACTCCTCAGAAAAGGGTCATTCCCATATGAGCGGCGTTGTTCTGCATGTTCGTTTCGAGAAAAAGTAGTTCTGACTAGCCTATTCTAACTCCTGAAAAACACCTGAACAACATCACAACATGCATCCCAGAATAAGTATATATACTCCTTGGATGTGTTGATTCTTTTACAATTCTTCAGCTGCTCTCACTCTCATACAAACACACCACACAAACACAACAACAAGTAAAACTCCAGCTTCCAATACACAACTCATCATCATGTCTACTTCATACACCAACACCGAGTACACGTGCGGACATATTATAGAAAAAGAAGCAGAAACCCGAGAAGCAAGCGAGGAGCCTTCGCAAGAGCCCAAGAAGCCATTGGCACGCGCTTTGACTGGGAAGTTAAAGAAAGGATTGAAGCGTGTTCTCACTTTGAGAGCTGCCAAACCCATCACGCGCTTTTCCAGATCGAAGTGTCCAGCTTGTGCCCCCCCAGCTCCAAGTCAAGACACCTCCCAGCCTGAAGAATCCGATCTCCAACCTCGCCACAGCGATGAAATCCTCAGGGAGGAGATCCTCTCGCAAGAAAAACTCGCACCTTTGGAGCCCACCAGCGACTGGCGCCGTGAGCAAGCTCGAATTCTCCTCAGGGCCGTCCACAAAGAAACCCAGCGCCGCGAAGCGACTCAACCAGTTCAAACTCGAGAGGACACACTCGCTACTCTCGAAGGCCGTCGTCCCACCATCCAGCATCGTCCCACTCTGCCCCTCGGGGGTAACTGGGATCCCAAGGAGGAGGAATCGCGACCCCAATTCGACGAGCTCGACCTCTTCGGCTACGTTTCTTCCGACCCCGACAGCGAGTGAAATCCGAGATCGAAGACCGAGGGTGAGTGTGTGAAGTGTTTCATTGACAATGACAGAATCATCCAAGTCTCTTAGAATGGAAGCATTCTGAAAGCTTGGGATCATCCAACTCTGTCAAAAGAAGATGTTATGTTCAACACAAATCATCAGACTGCTATGCTAAACGAAAACGATAAATACAGATTAATTCAACATACAATACGAACAATTCGAAGTGACTAACAATCAATGAGTAAACAACCAATCCCTTCCCCGTGAACGCAGAATACTTGAGAACTAACAAATCATTAGCAAGACTTCTGAGGGCAATACTGCAGTATCGAAACAATATTATGGAATACAAGCTAACCCATCTAGTACCCAGAAATAATATTGTCAGATCAATATCTACAGGCATTTTTGAGAACATTCTTAGAACCCGCTGAAAAGAAGAAAGGTCCTTATACTAACTACCATGGTTGAGGGATTTCTATCCCATTCTAGATTCCAACCTTTATCTATGAAACTCTCAAACAACAGAAGTAAGTATTTCATTGTCTAATCGTACAAAGGAGTCAGTCCTTCGATAACACAAAGAGATGCAGTCAGGCAACAAAGCATGTATCTCCATAAAGGGAGACTGAAACTGACAAACTAAGGAAACTAACTAACGTCTGTCCCTGTGTCCCGAGACGCACCCCGTAACGAGACAAATCTGTAGTTTTGGAATCATAACTTTTTTCTTAGCAAGTCTACAGAATTGCTATTAATGGACTATTTTCTTTAGCTATTTCTGCTTAGAGAGATCACTTAACAAATAAGAAAAAGAGCACAATTGATTATACTATCGATCATTTCAATTACACCATCGATCGCCGCTTCGGCTATTCACCCCTATTTAACCACAACTACTGAAGTCTTTTTCTCATTCGGAACACATTAGGAAAGATTCTATCCCGAAATAATATAGCTCCACATTTTGAAGATACATAGAGAGGAGAAGGATGGATTCCGGGAGTTACTCCGATATGGGGAGACAGCCTTTTGTTTTATTGCTTAGTGATACATATTAGCCGAGCTGCAGTTTACTAAATTTACGTCCAGGCTCGCTAAACTTCACCCAACCGCTATCCTCATGTGTAGTCACGTGTGTGGCGCAAGAGTGGAGCGCCGTCCGCAACGGCGAGTCTTTGCGCAAGGCGCACGTTCTGGCGTGCCTCAATTATATTGTGCTCTTATAGATTACAACACCATCCTTCATTCTGCATTCTCTCTCGTGCTTATGGATAACGCTCAATAAAAAGAAGGCTTAGAACCAATATTACCTCACTATTATAACAACTGTGTGAGGGTGCTGGAAATACAATTTTCGCAATCTTGAAGATCTAATCGTCCGAAATCCAGGTATTATAAACCCATGTCTATTTTGAGATTTAACCTTAGTCCTCAGCCACGTATGCAACCTCGTCCCAACTCGAACCTCAGCCGTACGAACAAAGATGTCTATTACACACTCTCTTCATCTGCTTTATCGCAATAACAATGGCAGAGGCTCTCGGAATTGTCTCTAGTGTTATTGCAGTTATTGATTTATCTGTCAAAGTTGCCTCACGGTGCTCCGAATACTACACAAATGTCAAGAATGCTCAAGACGATATCAAACGTCTCCAAAGTGAGGCTCAAGAATTAAAAGCAATACTTGAGAAGGTTCATTCAACATGCGACGGTTCAAATGGTGTAAGACTCCAAGATCCCCAAAGCTTGTGTAAAGGGGTCGAGGATTGCCAGAAGCAGCTCGTACAGCTGGAGGGAAAGCTTGAGCCTCGAGGAGCAAACAAATTAATGAATCGCTATGGGATACGCGCCTTGAAATGGCCTTTCAAAAGCAAAGAGGTGGATAGTCTTATAAAGAAACTCGAAAATTGCAAGGCCAATATATCTTTCAGTCTCCAAGTCGACCAAGAGTATGTAATTGTGTTCGTATTACATATAGCAGAAGCTGACGATGATACTTATAGGGTGCAAATTCTTAACATCCATCAAAATAATGTACTTGATAAACTGCGATATGTCAACAACGCCGCGTTTGACTCCCACGATGAAGAACACAATGCCCGATGCTACCAAGACACACGAGCGGAACTCCTTCGGCACATAGATAGCTGGGCTAGCGATCGAGACAGCAAATGTATATTCTGGTTAAATGGTATGGCAGGCACTGGCAAATCTACGATATCCCGTACTGTGGCCCAAAATCTTGCCCAAAAGGGAGAGCTCGGCGCCAGTTTCTTCTTTAAGAGGGGTAAAGGCGACCGTGGCCACGCAGGAATGTTTTTTGCAACAATTGTCACTCAGCTCGTCCAAAAACTACCTTCCTTAGCACCACATGTTCGAGATGCGATCGAAGCTGACCCAGGAATCTCTGGGAAGGCTTTGGGTCAACAATTCGATACACTTGTTTTGAAACCATTAATGAAGATACAAAATGATCCTCAGAAATCTTCTAGTATAGTGATTGTGGTTGATGCTCTTGACGAGTGTGATCGAGAAAAGGATGTTGAAGCTATCATTCGCCTATTTTCACAAGCGCAGCACATCGCATCGCTCAAGTTCTTCTTGACAAGCAGGCCAGAGCTTCCGATTCGCCTGGGCTTTAAGAAAATAGGAGATAGATATAAAGGATTAGTTCTCCATGAAATACCCGAGGAAATTGTTAAGGAAGATATCTCTTCATTCCTAGAACATGAACTAGCAATAATCCGAGAAGATTATAACATATCAGTCACCCAAAACCGGCAATTACCCGCGGATTGGCCAGGCTATACAATCATCCAAAGTTTAGTCGGAATGGCAATCCCATTGTTTATTTTTGCTACAACCATCTGCCGGTTCATCAATGACCGAAAATGCGGCCAACCGAAGGAGCAGCTTGCTGAGGTCCTGAAATATGAGGGTAGAAGCCAAGTGTCTAAACTTGACGCAACATATCTCCCTGTCCTAAACCAGCTAATCTTCGAAGTTAATCCTTCACAGAGAAGAGGTATATTACAAGACTCCAAGCAAGTCGTTGGATCAATCGTCATTCTTGCTAGCCCTCTTTCCGCTACTTCTCTTGATCGACTCCTTGGACTCCCTGAAGGTATAGTCGACAGTAAAACAGATCTCCTCCACTCCGTTCTAAGCATCCCCTCTCGTCCTGATCACCATATACGACTGCTCCATTTGTCGTTCCGGGACTTTCTCATTGATACTGAGAAGTGCGGAACGAATCCCTTTTGGATTGACGAGAAAGATACTCATAAGAAGTTAGCGACCCGATGCATTGAACTCTTATCGACGGGCGAAAATCTCAAAAAAGATATTTGCAATGTTCGAACACCAGAAAAGCCACGAGCAGATATTGATAAACAAACGATAGATTTTCACCTGCCATCCGAAATTCAATATGCTTGCCAGTATTGGGTATACCACTTGAAGGAAAGCGGAAGTAGTATATACGATAGCGATCAAGTCCACAATTTCCTCAAGTGTCATTTTCTCCCCTGGCTTGAATCATTAAGCTTGATTGGAAGGCTACGAGAAAGTATTGGGATGGTAGACAGCTTATTGAATATAATAGATGTATGTTACTCACTACTCTCAACTGCAAGTATCTACTAAATACAAGTTTTAAGCCAATAAAAGGCGACCAAATAGCTAGGTTCCTTCATGATGGAAAGCGCTTTATCCTCAGCTACTACTCTATAGCTGACTCATCGCCCCTCCAACTCTACTCCTCCGCACTCACCTTTGCTCCAAAGAAAAGCATCATTCGAAATACATTTCATAACTATATCCCTGATTGGATCTTACAGAAGCCAAATACAGATCTGGGATGGAATACAGTTCTTCAGACGCTCGAAGGGCATAGCGGTTCGGTCAACTCGGTCGCTTTCTCGGCCGACTCGAAGCTGCTGGCATCGGCATCGCGCGATCACACAATCAAGATCTGGGATACAGCTACAGGCACACTACAGCAGACGCTCGAAGGGCATAGCAATTCGGTCAACTCGGTCGCTTTCTCAGCCAACTCAAAGCTGCTGGCATCGGCATCGTGCGATCGCACAATCAAGATCTGGGATACAGCTACAGGCACACTACAGCAAACGCTCGAAGGGCATAGAGGTTCGGTCAACTCGGTCGCTTTCTCGACCAACTCGAAGCTGCTGGCATCGGCATCGGGCGATCACACAATCAAGATCTGGGATACAGCTACAAGCACACTGCAGCAAACGCTCGAAGGGCATAGCAATTCGGTCAACTCGGTCGCTTTCTCAGCCAACTCAAAGCTGCTGGCATCGGCATCGCGCGATTACACAATCAAGATCTGGGATACAGCTACAGGAACACTGCAGCAAACGCTCGAAGGGCATAGGTGTTCGGTCAACTCGATCGCTTTCTCAGCCAACTCAAAGCTGCTGGCATCGGCATCGCACGATTATACAATCAAGATCTGGGATACAGCTACAGGCACACTACAGCAGACGCTCGAAGGGCATAGCAATTCGGTCAACTCGGTCGCTTTCTCGACCAACTCGAAGCTGCTAGCATCGGCATCGAATGATCGCACAATCAAGATCTGGGATACAGCTACAGGCACACTGCAGCAAACGCTCGAAGGGCATAGGGGTTCGGTCAACTCGGTCGCTTTCTCAGCCAACTCAAAGCTGCTGGCATCGGCATCGTGCGATTACACAATCAAGATCTGGGATACAGCTACAGGAACACTGCAGCAAACGCTCGAAGGGCATTTCGGCGTCAGGAATTTATCATTTGGTATCACAAACTCAACCTTAATTACAGACATTGGCTGCTTTAGGTTAAATATAAACAGCAACATCCCTTTGCCTTCATCTTCTCGAGCAATAAATAGTAGAAGCCACCGTCAAGGATTAAGTATCAATGAGTCTTGGGTAATATGGAATGACCAGAATCTTCTTTGGTTACCACCCGACTTCCGGCCTGAAATCTTTACTATCTCGCATACCGGCTCGAAACTCGCCATTGCATGTCAATCTGGGAGAGTTTTTATTATCGGAATAAATGATCCATATAGTAATATTCTTTAATAAAGTTAGCTTACTTTCAGAAATAACTATTGTATATATAAACATCATCTTCTCCTTAATATTTATTTTATGACTGAGCCAGGACAGAGGCGTGGAGAGAGCTACACTTATATACTATTGTGGATTATACCAGATTCTTCTATACCTTTCTAATTTACACTGTTCTTGGCCAGTCCGGTTGTGTAATACATATTTCAGCTTTGTGGGAAGCGACTTACAGACTGTGGCTGACTGTGGCGGTAATGCGGTAAAATTAATAAGGTTAATCACGAGTCTTTTCCCTATCTGTAAAGGTTGGCTGAGTGTTAGCTATTTTTGGCAAACTACTAGTCCGTGCTTTAAGCTCTAGTCAGAGAATGTCGAGAAACATGAATTTTCTGGTAAGATGTGCGTAGCTACAAACATCGCAGCCACACATTTAGTCATTTAGTAGCCATAAATATCATTTCATCGAAATTACTATAGCCACACCGCCACAGGAAGTATCAGCCTTTGTGGCGATAGTGTATTATATAGCGTACTGTGATCACTACAATATTGAGAATAAGTTTTTAGTATTGTAGTAAAACTCGGAAACCTTTATCTAATCGTTCTACGAGTTTAAAAAGTGAAAAAGGCTTTATGGTAGTATCGCAAATCGAAAGGTTCTAATATAGTGCAAAAGGAGGCTCTCTACAAATGCAAGTGGGCAGCGATAACGCGATAATAATTTTCGGAAATGATAAGTCAGGAGTGCTCCAAAAAAGTATAAAATACAGTTGTAGACAAAACAAACAGAAATTTCAACGTGGTTGTGGATTTAAAGTCACTTAAACTCGAAGTACCTTCGATTTGTCTCGTTACGGGGTGCGTCTCGGGACACAGGGACAGACGTTAGGTAGGGATCAAAAGGTCGGAACAATTATGAATGTATCTAAAGTTACAGATGGCTCCGCACAAGCCACTTTTTCTTTTATTTATAGGATACTGGGAAGCGGGATTATATCCAGCCACAAACATTACTATCACGTGCTAGACCGCTACAGAATTTATTACAATTCTATCAAGATTACTACAACTACACCATCGCTGATTAATATCCTCAACTGCATTATCAAGAAAGTATCGTTTTTGTAACGACGCCATATGATATAGCATACTCTAGCCCGCTACAAGACTGGCATTGACTTTATAACATCGCGATAAGGCTTGAAAGTTTATATTTGATTGTCTTATAAAGTCAAAATCGAAAAAAAGAGCTAAATATTAGTGTTACGGATCAAGAGGTTCAATTGTGCTAAAATAAGAGGCTGTTTATAATTCAGACGAGCGGCGACAACAAGATGAAAATTTTCGGAAGCAAGAAGTTAGAAGTATTCTAGAGAAGCATTCAAGACATCTAGAATGATAATATATGAATTTTTTGATACTTTCATAGATTTAGAGCCGCTTGAATTCGAAGTACCTGTGATTTGTCTCGTGATGGGGTGCGTCTCGCTACGCAGGGACGGACGTTACCTTCGTATCGATCCCTCATAAGAGAATTCATAATGGATTGAGGGTATTAATATAGCGATTGATATGTTTGAACAAATTCGAGCAGCAAAACTCCCAAGGAAACATCTAATCAGCCAGAATTGCATTTATTCTAAGCTTTTGCCAGTTGCACATATAGAGTTCTGATTCAAGAAATCACAGAAGCCCAGAGAAAGCATAATTAGCTAGGGAAAAAATATGTCGAATGCTTATTATTCGATGGGCTTCGAATTTAAAAACTGTTCTGAGGGCTCCAGATGACATACTAGATTCTCATAACTAGTGCACGAATAGTACCGAAAGCTCTGAAACGGCACTATCAAACCGTTCTCCCCCCAATATAGATTTACTAATTATGATTTGTGCTCAAGAATGCGGCGGACAGAATCTTTAAGATGTGAATCCTTGAATCGGGGAGATTGGAGGAAGAGCCGAGTATAAGAAAGTGGTACGGAAACACGAACAGAAAATTGAGTTAAGCATTATGATTAATTATTGAAACTTGAGAGAAAAACTATAGTTAAAACGACTCGTTTTCCTCATGGTGGGTAAAATTTGGAAGGCTAAGCTTCATCGGTCTCCCCTCCCCTTTACTTCATGCCTCGCCTACGCAGCAGCTAGTACTAGATCCCCTAGTAACTCGCAAGACCCGCTCCTCAATATTCAACAAACATCTCACAAATATCCACCATCTACTAATACCATTAATCCAAAGCTGCTCATACATTTATCCTGATACTCTTTCTTCCGTGCACGAAAACCACCATCCAAGCTACCCCTAACTACCCATCTAGTTTGCGAAATCCTCCCTATACGCACTTTCAATTCTCTTAAAAACCGCATCCCTCTTATGAATCTCCTTGATCTTATTTCTATCACTTCTGTCGATATACGCCAAAGTCCAATTATCATTATCGAGATTGATGAATCCAGCCGCCAATCTCAACTGCGAAAAACTAAAATGATCGATGACGAATTGACAGCGAATTTGTTGAATTTGGGTCAGAGAAATATTGATTTGTCGGACCAAGTCTTTCATTTCCTGGACGTGATTGATATAAGCTCGAGGTGCTTCTTTGCGGGAAACTCCAGGATAGATGATGAGTTCGAGAATGCCGGTCCATGAAGTGTATGTTGGGCTTCGGAGCTGGCGAATAATGATAGACATGTCTGTTTGTTGATCCCCGGAGTAATTGATTGAGAGACTCAAGATCTTGTTGGATTTCGTGTACCATTCTTTATTTAGGGTTGGTCCAGGGAGTGGGGATGTCGGAATGAACCACTCTCGAGTGGCTTCATCAGGGTTGGTATTGCCGATTTGACTTCTCCATCCGACGTGGTAATTCTCATCGCTGTTGCAGAACTCGCGGGTGCGACCTTCCGGTGCTTCGTGTTTGCTGTGAACATTTTGTGTCAAAGATGGGGCATCAACTTTGTTGTGTGTAGACCAGTCTATAGGAAGACGAATGAATCGAGGCATTCTGGTGAGATTATCATGGAGAGCATGGAGGAAATTATTCATTTTTTTGATGATCTGATTAAAAGTGTGGATAGTCGACAATCTGTTCTGCTCAGCTTTGATAGAGGTGATTATAATTCGATTTATTCGATTCATTTGCCATCGGAAGCTCGAAACCGAATGTGAGAGGTAGATGATAATACGACGACCTCGTCATACAAGTTCTGGCGCAAGTTTTCCTTCCATACGGCTATTTTCAATACTGGCAGAAAAGTAATATCAGAGCTAATTCACTTCAAAGGTTTCATATTTTACAGATAGAAGAGTACTACTGCCAAACTCCCACTTCAAAGTTTCTAAGTTCATATCAGCGAGGTAGGATAAAAAAGGGAACTGTCAATTAGACAAAGGAGAGCAAAGATGAAATTGTTGAGAGTTCAGGGATTGTAGAGTCAAATACGTACGTATGTATTTTTACTTAACTCTAATGTAAAACATGCCAGTAAGATCCCATCATAGACAGTGAATAGTTTCCACAATGAAGGTACCCGGAGGATTATTTTTGGAGTGAAGTGTACAGTAGCGAATGACCAGAAAATGATACTAAGAAAGAACATAACACAAATACTGCTAGACTTTACCGTCTACTCATCAGATTTTCTTTATCGTGCTAATGTATCTTTGATCATGTACGGCTGCTACACTGTTTTAATTTCTAGATTTTTTCCTAAGAAACGATACAATCCTCGGGACCTATCGAGGGATCTCAGACGGTACTTTCTAGCGCAATAGCCAGGCTAAAAACCGTACCAGTGAAAACTTATTACGGTCATTGGAACGGCGGCATCATGAACAGTCTCTCATCTCCATGGAATAAATCATTGGGTACAAAGCTATTCTGCTCTCGTTTTCTATAGAGAAACCATCCTCCTCAAAGTTTGATACTGAAAGAATCCCCAATCAAAAGCTTTGTGGAATGAATCAGTCAATCGTTAACACGCGAAATTTACCTCTTCGTCAAATTCTCTCCAAATGAACAACGAAAATTCCCGTCCTCTAAAACCCCTCGAAATAATCCAACGTCATCCTCACATCATGTTCTGGGGTGGGGTCCTGACCGTCTCCATAGATCTCCACCCCACTCCCCTGCGAACCCCCTCGCTCATGAGAAATCTCGCCAATATCCTCCCCGACTATGCGCCCTGGACTCACCACATCAAAATCTCTATTCTTCCTCCTCCTTTCCACAAAGATCCGGACTCATGGCCCACAAAACCTTCTCATTCTCACATCTCCGACTTCAAAACTATCGTCAATATTTTGAATAAATTTGACAGAGTAAAAGAACTTCACATGACTATTTTACTTAAACCCCAGCAATCGAAATGCGAAGATTTGTGTTTTCTGGGTGGATTGTTTGGATTGGAGAGAATTAAATGGAGTTTGGCGTTTGCGGTTCAGGGACATGGGAAGTGGGAGGTTGATGATGGGTGTTGTTTTATGAGGGAGCTGTTGGACGTTTATTCGAGGCGGTTTTCGGGGTCAGGAGGGTTGGAGATGATTGTTGAGTGAGACTAATAGGCGAGGAGTTGATTGTTAGATTTAAGTATTGAGGAGTAGAATAGATGAGAATAGTTTTTATTGGTTCTGGGATATCTTCCTTTGTGATATTATATTGGGCATTGCAAGGAAGTAGTAATTTAGAACATCTCTTCTGAGGAATTCTTAGCCACAATCAATCAATACCTAGGTACTACATCTTACAGTATTACTGTTTACATGTGATTTTTATGTTCCTGTGCAAATGCTTTGTTGTTACTAATCTTAAAGGTTGAAGGTCTTTTTGAAATTGTTAGAGTTTCTTTCATATAATACAAATTAATAAATTGCCATCACTTAAGATCCTTCAAAGATTTCAAGAATCAGAATCAAATTCAATAGCAAATAAACGTGAACTAAACAACCCAATTCCAGCCCTTAGAGATCACACACAAAAGAACCTTCACCCGGCATGCTAGAAGGTCTCCTGAAAACCAAAAGACATTCAGATTGTGTTTTTGCTACTTTGATTATTAGTTAGTATATCTAATCTATTGACTCTTGCCACAAGCTTATGCACTTCACACATACACTTCACACGAAGAAGGCACAAACAAAGATATATTCACATCAAAGCATACATTTACCTAATAAGACAGACCTAGTTTATGTTGTTATTATTTCTCAGCCTTCTGGGCCAATCCATTTTTACAACTAAGGGGTATATTCCCGAGACACTTACGCCTGGTGTTAGTATCCACTTGTAGACAGTCAAGAAGATGAAGATTGATATTATTTTATATTATCATGTAAACATATTCAATAGGAGTTTGTTCCTGGACAGCCTGCTGTAAAGGTTACATGCATATTTCATAGCCCCAAGCCATGAAATATCATCATACACCAAAAGATATAGGCTGGCTTCCCAATAGCCGCCAGTTTCCTCAGAACCAACACCAAAGATCGAGAATGAGAATCTCATCTCCCAGCAATCACACCCTCCAACATCATCTCCTCATCCCCCATCAATCTCCACCTTCCCCAAACCCCCAAACCCCCAACCCCTACAAAAACTCCTTTCTCCAAACCCCATTCAATCTTCTCATCGTATCATTCTCCACTTCCACTCTAACCGGTTCCTCCCCCCTAACCACATACTGCAAAGTGCGCTGAACCTCCTGTCTAACCCCAAACATCGCAGCCGCGAGCTTCATCTGCGGGAAACTACAATAATCAACCAACATTCTTATTCTGACTTGCTCCAACTTCTTAAACTTGTTGATCTCCCCAACAATTGACTTCATGTCTGCAATGCGCGAAGTATAGATGCTGGGGGGTTCCATGTGGGGAATTCCAGCGTGGATACTAAGTTGCAGGATCTTGACATAGGGGGCGTAGTCGGGGAGGATGGTAAGGAGAGATTTCATGGAAGTGGATTTTTCGATCGGGCTGCCGGGTCCGCAGTAGTCGATTGTGAGGGTGAGGATGTTGCCGGTGAGGACCATGGCGGGGTGAGCCATGATCTCGGTAGGGTGTTTGGGGATGAATTCGCTGGGGGCGGCTTGGACTGCACGTCGGTTTTTGGATCCCATGGTTACTAAGTGGATTAGTTTGATTTGATGTGTGTATTGGTAAAGAGGTGTTGAATTATGTATTTGTTTCGTTGAAGTAATGAACTCGACTCTGAATATTCAAAGACCTCACAGAGAGTTCTCTATCGTTTGACTTGTTTGTAGATATTGTGATCCGTTATTGAGATTGAGACTGTAGTCTTGAAGTGAAGAAGATGAAGTAATGAGAATAGAAGAAGCAAATTGGGCAGTGTTCCAGCTTCCTTATATACCAAAGAAAGCTTTTTCCAATACCACAACCCCTTAAGCGAGATTACCGTAAGTAATGATGTCTCTCAGGTGTATCCGTACAGTAGCCGTAGAGTAGGTATTGACACACTTGAATTCACTAATAATAAGGCCCCCAACTGCGTAAGGTACTAATATACGGTACTTCATCCTTGCGTAGATTAAAGCATATGGACATTAAATCAACACTTGCATATGATGTTCTATTATTGTGGTCTAGGCACTCTTCTAGGCTTTGCTAGCCATCATTGGTGGAGGGCCCCAGGATCTTGATTTTTTCTTCAAGTAGTCTATCCGTATATCTACTAATATCACGGTCAATGGACATAGCCTATATCCAGCTCAAGAATCACTGAGAGATATAAGGAGTCGACAGCACGACATCGAAACCCAATTGGCGGATTCCATCCTACCACTCGTAAATCTCTAGCCACATGAAACCCTCTCCCCCCGGCCCAAGTTTACAAAACTCATAACTGACTCCAAATCCATCCACTCCTCTCGAAAATGAAGGATCTCAATATTTACTCTACAGCAGATTATCCTGTAAACCTCAAAATATTCTTAGAGTTATTGAAAGCCTATTGTTCGATCAGATTTGTTGATCAATCTATGAATCCACATACCTCACTTTCGTATCCCGATTTCACTTACCCGCACCTTGAATACACAAGAGCCCCCTTTCTCTTCTCAAGAAGAATCATATAAGTCCAACAAGCAAAATCCATCCCCATGTCCATTTTAAACATCGTTCCCATCCCATCCAACTATAAACATACAATGATATAGATCCAATAAGAACAATTCATCCCATCCCATCCCTCCCTCTCCCTCTCCCAGCCTCAAACCATACCGCAAAAACCCATAAACCTACCGGCACAATCTGGAAACCCCAAGAAGGATAAATCAATAATCCACCACCCCCACACCCCTTACATTCCAATCAACTCCCTTCCAAAACATCAAGTACCTCATTACTTCACTACCTCATTACTCCATTTGCCTCACAACTCACACACAGAGACAAATCCCATCCATCCCCATCAAATTCGCAGATCCCAATCCGTGTAGAAACAAAATCCGGAGGCCCTCCGAATGCAGGTTTCACATTTCGCATCAAAATTCAACTTATTTAAGATTTCCGAGAAGATTTGAGCCGGTCAAGAGTCATCGCCGAAATAAGATAACCTGAAACTTCATAGCACAGAAATACATAAGATGACAGCTATAAAGTTTGAATTAAGAGTTGACGTTCCCTCCTCCACCCCATCATCCCACCCCACTCCGCTTCCGCCTAAGCCCCCTCCCCTTAGCACTAAAAAACCCCACCAATTCCAATTCCACTAGCGCCCCTCAAAATTTTCGCAGATCCACACATATGAAAAATTCCCTCTCAACTCTCATCTTTCAAATTTTAAAACTATCCATTCAACAAGAATTCAAAAATAAAAGTAACATCAAAGAAATCAAATTCCTCTAAAAATGTGAAATGTTATTGATGAGAGTGGGATTCGAACCCACGCCTATTACTAGACCAGGAGATTGCAAACAATCGCTTATTAACTGTTATATACCTTAACCTGGCGCCTTAGACCAACTCGGCCATCTCACCAATTGTTGATTTGGTGGGAGAACGTGCTAGAGGAGTAAATATCACGCACAGATGTGGGGGCTGAGAGTACATATATGTAGGTAGGTATACAGAAGACTCTGCTCCACTGCGACTATTCATTGGGATGTCGAGCTCTGAAGGGTTTCCATTTCTTATCAGGGTGTGGACCTTGCCGTTGTATTGTGATGGAGGTAATGTCGTCGTTGAGGTAGTCAAGATATATGAGGGCCCAGCTCAAGCATTCACATACATATATCTAAGAAGGTAATACTTCTATGAAAGTTGTGCGGTTATCGAATCATGAGCGTTCCTGATTGAATGGACCTCAATATATGTCACTTACATATTGATCACAAATGAGAGCCTTGGGATTGGAGGGTGCTCAGGAGTCTTTTGGGGGATGGTGCATATGTGTTACTGATATGCATTTGTTACAATCAACTTATAGAGTCTTATTACTGCCATCGAATGTCCCAACTATGAGGACAAGTCGACGAAACGGCAAACGAAGGGTGATCAAAAGTGGAATAATCACTCAAAGTCATAACTATCAAGAATGCACCGGACTTTATTTTCATCACCGAGAGGGCTTTTCAAACTTTTGAGAAGATAATATCATTGATTGTGAGACGAATTTCTGGGGAAGTCGATGCTTTGGGGACGACGTACATACCCAAGAATTCCCAAGCACTAAATATTTCATTTCTTAGTCCAATTCGACCCTACCTACTACCAATTTACTCCAATCATGATCTACTCCATGCTCAATATTAGGGATAGGACCCATCGGTGTGATAGCCTTTGGATTGATGTCCGCATGACTCTTCGTGTACTAGTTATTGTCAATCTCCGGTCATCGAAAATATACGGGATTCTCACATTTTCCTTAATATGTTTGAAATCCGTGGATTCCTTAAACCCCTTGACTTCCCAATACAAATGTTTCAACCAAGCATTTAGTACCGGATAATCATGACGAATCGTTCCAAGGTTACACTTGAAATGTTGCACATACACAGCATCGAAGCGACAAATTGTTGGATACAACCTCAAATCCAATTCTGTCATTTCTGAACCCAAAACATACGGACCTCCATTCTTTTTCATGATTTCCTCAATTCGATTCAAGGCTTTGAATAATGGCACAACATTTTTGTCGTAAGTTTCTTGGTTTGGCGCGAATCCAGCCTTATATACTCCGGTATTGATCTCGTTTTGCATCCATTCTCCCATTTCATCGATTTCGACGGCCAAATTCTCAGGATAAAAATTTAAATTCTTGTATTCATCATCCAATATGCTGTCAAATCCAGTATTCAGATTCCGCAGAATCTCTAAGCTTTCATTGCATACAATTTGATTTGTCTTCTTATCCCACAGAACGGGCACAGAGAATCTCCCCTTGTAATCTCTTTGGGACCGGAAGTAAACCTGGTGGAGATATTTGTAATGGAAGAGATGATCCCCAGTTGCGCCAGGGTACGGATCGGTTTCTGTTGCGAATTTCCAGCCGGGCCATCCTTTATCGTCACCCTTTGGATAAGGTTTGACGATAGATATAGGGAGGATGGAAGTGAGACCTTTGAGATGTCGAATGAGGTTTACTCGGTGGGCAAATGGACAAAAAAGCCCTATTTAAGAATCTGTCAGATCAATCCGCAGATGAAGAGGGTCTGAGGGGTGATTTACCAATGTATAAATGGTATCGATCCGTTTCGGGAGGGAACTCCCCTCCTACTTCAATTCGGCCATGCCAATTACCATCTTTTGGTACCGATTGTTGTCTTGTAGTTGAAGACATTTTGCAATGAATAGGATAGTGTTTGTTAATAAGATATCGAATGTTTCGTGGAATTGCTACTATCATTTCAGATGTGAATCCAGATAGGATTGATTTGCCGTCCTTTCACGTATGATAACTTGTTGAAATACATATCACCACTGCGGGGGTTCTGGGTACATGCATCCATACTTCATGATATAGGTATTCTTTTCTCTCCCACAAGAGATAGCAGATATTGTCCAATGTCCAATGTCCAATGCCCAATGTCCAATGCCATAGTCAATGTCACCTGAGCAATCATTGACAATCGTGTGAGACTCACAAGGTGCTGCGCTCTAATTGGTTCATATTCAAGATTGGTGGGGCAGACGGAATTATAGTCAGCAATCGACCGGAAAGTCGGAGGGTCGGGAGATGGTTACAACTTAAGTCCGTGGGAAGATTGAAGGAGTTATATCTACCTACCTACCTATTTTCACCAAAACACATCATACAAGTAATGGTAATCAATAACTGATCATAAGGTAAATTCATTATCCACCTCACATTATAATCATCAAATCATCATTCATACCGCCGTCTCCCTTTAATTGGCAAATCTCACCTGCGGCAAGTTTTGGTCGTCAACACGGGTGCCTAACTTCACACCGCCTCCATATAAAATCACACCCAAGGCCTCAAATCTCCAAGCATCTGCAATCATCTGCAAACAACTCCCTGATGAAAATTGAATTCCATCATCAAATCTAGGTGGACCGACGAATGGTTTCTTATATTCATGAGCTGTCTAATGCGGCTCCCATACTCATTGGACTATTCACCATCCCAACTGCATGGCGATTCATTAGGAACTTCAAATCACCAAGAGTGACCAATCATGAAGTCCTCTATGAAGACAAAGATGGGGTGGCTACGGAAGAATCCATGGCAAAGTATTCCACTCAACGTCAATTCATGATCATCTTCACTTCTCTCATTGTGGGACTTTTGACTTCGTTTGGATTGGCTGTTTTTGCCACTGTCGTGAAGAACGACTTTTCGCATTGGTCTTTCACCCATATTTGGCTCCTGTTCGTATCTTGGGTAAGCTTAAATTGTTGTAGGATCACATGTCAGCCTTTTACTAATAGATGTTTAGATTTTTGTATTCGTTCAGGCATTGGAAACTTCAAGAGAGATTCATCCTGTATTGAAATTCCAGAAAGGAATTTTTAATTCTGTATCATGTGCTTTGGTAACCGTTCTCACATGTCTCGTGCTATCGGCCCATCCTCCAACTTCTGGCCGTATCCGCCTCGCATGGTTTATTCTCACAGTCGTCCAAGTCATTGCTGCCGT